AGAAAAGGTTTAATTGGCTAAAATAGTGATGGCGTCCAGTGGGCGCGACAGAGCTTGCAACATATGGCGCGATAGAGCGCCTGGCCAGAAGCCGATTGATCGATCGCCATGATGCTCCGAGCTGGGATGCGCGTCGCGACCAAGCGATCACACAGCGACGGGCCGCGCGTCGTCGACAAGAGCAAAGGTGTGGCGCGTGCTTCAACCCGAAGCGGCACAAGTCGTACTGCAATCCGGCGCTCAGGTACCAGTACGTCTGGCGGCGCATTGGATGCGAGCTTGTCCGTGACCATCGACATGTGTAGGCTTGCCACCGCCACCATTATTGCGTCCTTGACTGGACAAGGCGAATACCTTCGCAATGTACCTCAAGGTGTTCACGTCGCGGGACCAGACGCTCCCAGGGCGCAAGACCAAGGTCCCAATGCCGTGGAGGCCATCCCCACGTGCATCTCCAAGCCAACTGCCTTTCGCACCTCGATAAGTAAGCACCAACAGCTCGTCTTTGCATATTCTCATCTATGGACAGCATCTCGACGACGTCGCGCTCTACGACCGCTGCGACAGCGTCCCGCTGAGCGAGATCGTCGCCCGCCAGCGCTGGCGCCTGCTGGGCCACGTGCTGCGCATGAGTGAAGACGTCCCTGCCAACCTTGCCGCCGCCCGCTTCTTCCCGAGGCACCCCGTTTTTTAGGCCGCACCAAGATCACATTGCCGATCGTCCTGCACCGCGACCTCCAGTCGTTGACGCCGCCTCAGTCGCTGGCGTCTCTCGAGGACCTCGACAAACTGCGTAGCTTTGCCGCCGACACCAAAGTCTGAAAGGCCTTCACACAGCGTGTCGTCATGGGCCCTTCCCGCGCCCGCAAGCCCCCCGGGCGACTACAGAAGAGCAAGACGAGCCCCGCGCCGCCGCCTGCGCAGCCACGGCCCGGCGAGCAAATGAAGAAGAAGGGAAGTGCTAGTCTCTACGTACCGGTATGCGAACTCTTTGTAACAACGAGGATAACGCGAAACACGTTCATATATATGGACAGCATCAATGAAGTAGAGGACGCGGATGCCGCGCCCGTCGACTGTCCATTTCTACCAGATGAATGGAAAAAACGTCAGTACGAAGGCTGCGTCATGAACGCGCGCCTCGGCAACTTTTGCTTCCGCCACGGCGCCAGCAACACGAAGCAGTGCATCGAGGAAGGCTGTACCAAGATGGCGCACGCCAAGCAAAAGTGCGTCCGCCACGGCGGCGGCTGCAAGTGCCGCGTCGAAAGCAGCAGGCACACGCGCGCACGGGCTGCTACAGCTGCCGTCACTCGAAGCAGGTCGAGTCGAGCACGAAGAAGGAGCGGTCGCCGACCCCACTGCCCGTGCTCTATGGCGTCCTTCCGCCGCTCGGCCAATCGCTCGCGGCCGCGTCCAGCTCGATGGTCCAGCACGACTACGACCGCCCGTACTTGCCGCCGTCGGCGTGGCATGAGGCGTCGCACCTCCCGCCATCGGCGCCGCTGCCGTCGCTGAACTCGTTCTTCCCGCTCCTCCGGTGTTTGGCTGCTCTCGCCGAAGCAAGCGCGCCCGCGCGCCGTCTCGAAGTCAAGCCGAAGAGTGCCACGAGCAGCAACACAAATGCGACCCGCAGCGAGTATGAAGCGGCTTTGGGCACCGACTACGACCAAGTGGTCGTTGAAGTGGCGCCCATGCAGAGCGCGTGGGTGGGTGTCTATGCGACCACCAGCCTCACAAGCTTCATCGAGCGCAAGGCGAGCCACGTGAAGCTTATGCTACCGTGCCCTATCTGCAAGCACCCAAATCGTGCTGACCCCACATACGACGCCATGGAATGCACAAGCCTTACAAGGCCAATAATTTCAAGAACGGGCACAATAGAACGGCATTTGAGAAAGCGATCCTCGAATACAGTCATCTACTAGCTATACCTCATGAATTATGTTGTATGCTATCGCTCACTTTCGTTTGAAATGACCTACGTGCTGTCATGGTGCCGCGGGCCGCCTTTGTGACGTGGCACCACACCAACCCTGATGCTCTCGCGCTCCGGGCCTCGACGGCGCATTTCTATGTGCCCCAGCGTCCTTCAAAAGTGCATCCTGGCCTCATATCAATTATTAGGGGTGGTCTCCTGGGGCCTCTAAAAATCGATCAATCGCGGCTTATGAGCTCAGTCGCCCATACGAAATGCATCAAGCCCAAAAGTGCATCCTGGCCTCATATCAATTATTAGGGGTGGTCTCCTGGGGCCTCTAAAAATCGATCAATCGCGGCTTATGAGCTCAGTCGCCCATACGAAATGCATCAAGCCAAAAGTCTTATCATGCCAGATCCAGAAACGACAGACAACGGTGTTCTCATATCCCAATGGCCATGTCCATGACCAAGGGGTTGAAAGCTTGATACGGAAGGATTCGCTGGGCGTTGCGCGCCTCGACGACTTGTACAAATGCCTGCAACGACGCCGTGAAGCGGTGAGCGACGGCTTTGGCGGCGTCATCCAAAAGCACATGCGAAAAATCTTCCAAGATGTTGGGCTGCGGGAACCCAGTGCCACTCATGATAAGGGCCGCCCGCACGGCGTTCCCGGGGCGCCCCGAGAGCTCGCCTTCAACCCACGACACGGGGCAGAACGCCGGGTCCGAGACGTACTCGGCAATGCCGCCGAGGTGGTTGTGCATGGCCGTGACCAAAAAGATACTGTGCGCAACGACATCCTTCAGGTTCTCCAAGCTCAGAACGCCGAGTGGCGTCGGCAGCTGCTTGTTGAGGAACGCCCACAGCGCTTGGATCGACGCATCGCGCGTCACGTCGTCGTCGCTCTTGTAGTACAAGTCGAGGTACTCGCTCACAAAGGTTCGCACGATCTTCCAGTAGTCGGCGCCGTCTTCGTGGTACGGCAGCGTAATCGTGTCGACTTGCTGTCGTGCCAGATGCACTGGGAACGGCTCCAACGTGAGGCTCTTAAGTGCCATGGCCCACGTGTCCTTGAGCCCCTTCTCCGTGAACGGAAATGCACGGTGGAGCATGCCTTTGGGTGCAAAGAGAGCAATTGACGCGTCATAGTTGATGGCGACGGCGCGGAACGTAAAGGGCTTGATGAGGCGACGCAGCGGGTGCGCCGGCGGCAGCTGCTCGCGGGACGCCGTCGTCATGTAGTTGCCAACGGTCACGTGGAGGCCCATGAGGTGGTCGACGGCCGTAATTTTGCTCACCAAGCTCGAGCGAAAACACATTTTGGCGTACTCCCATGCCGCATCCGTGGGGCGAATCGTCTTGCCGAGTCGGACGATCTTGGTCACTTTGCCCTTCGCGTCGAAGAAGGCGTCGGCCCCCGTGATCGCGTACCCCGCGCGAACTTCGATCGACGCCAAGAAGTTCGTCGCCACCGTATAGTACGACCCATCGTCGTGCGCTGTGGCGAGCTTCTGAACCATGTGTTGGCCGAGACCGTGGAAGACAAGCAGCTCGAGCGCGCGGTCCGAGTACCGGTCGTCCCAGTGCACTCGGACGCGGGGCCACATGCGACCGACTTTGCTCAGCACGTATCCTTCCATGTCTTCGCCAGGCGCCCACTTGGCGTCAAAGTTGTCGACAAACGGCGCCGAGTCTTGGAGGAGCTTGGCGCTTTCGAGAACGACTTTGGGGATCGCGACGTCTTCGTCCTCGGTGGGAATCTGGATCGAAGTGCCGTAGAGCGTGCGTTTGGGCAGCGTCTTTTGCGTCGTCGGCACCTTGATGGACGCTGCGGCCGTCGGCGTCACCCACGTCTCAAACCGGACGTTGAAGAGCTGGATCATCGAGTGCGTCCAAAAGTCGAGGCGCTTGTCAGAGGCCGCCAGCAGCGGGTTCTCAAGCGATCCATTGTAGAGCTTTGCGTTCGGATGATGCAGCCGGCGCCACGCGTCAACGTCTTGTTGGACGACACCTGGGGCGTAGCGGAAGCTCACGGTGGTGAGCAGGTCGATGGGCAGCGGGTTCACGCCGTCGCCCAGCGCAAATGACTGCAGCGGCGCCATGACAGCGACAAAGTCAAGCAGCGAGACCACGTGCGACTGCAAGATGAGGCGCGAGAGCCCTTCGCGGCGCCCCTCTACGCGGTGCACGAGGTCGTCGATCGCAAACGGCGCAAATCCATAGGCCGACGTGTTGGCCGTCGCGAAGCGCGCAGGCTGGAACTGCTCTGGCGACGGCCACCGCTTGGGGTCGTGGTTGATGCAGTCGAGCAGCGCGACTGTGAGGCGGTTCTTGGGCACTGCGACCATCGCACCGCTGCCGTCGGGCACCGTGAGGTCTTTCGTCGCACGGGCAAACGTGTGGCGTGGGCTTGCGCCGTAGACGCGCTGCACTTCGTTCACGTACTGGTTGACAGCATCGAGGTCCTCGAGATGGCTCCAATGTGCGCCGTTGGGGTACTGGGCCGTGTACGCGTCCCGAGCCGTCGCCATTTGACCGCGGACGTCGTCGTGGCTCACCATGGCCGTGATCGTGTGCACGACGAGACCTTCGAGCCCTGGAAGGCCCATCGCCAAGAGCTGGAAGCTTTCAACTACCAAGTCGGCCTCAGAGACTGAGCCTTGCGCCACGACGGCGTCGAGAACGCATGTCGTCGATGCACCGCTGCGAACGCGGGCCACACTCGACGCAATGGCCGGGCGTACAATGGCCGCGAGTAGGCGCTCGCGGATCTTGGTGGCGTCGGCCGGGGCGCGGCGGCTCGTCTTGCTCACGTAAAAGAGGTACTCGTCCAGTTGCGCGCGGTAGCCCGTGTATTTCTCGGGGTCGGACACGCCGTAGACAACATCCAAGAACACTTTAAACACCGAGGTTTTGGCGTGAAGCGCGAGCGAGAAGGTACTGCCCCGGGCTGCCCACATCGCATGGTCTTCTTGGATACGTCGTTGAATGCGTGGCTGGTACGCAGCAAGCGCCGGGCCGGAGAGGGCGTTGAGGAAGGCGTCTTGGCGCTTCGAGAACGCAGGTCCATCGATCGTCGACAGCGTCGGACCTGAGAGCTCGAGGATGCCCGCGGGATAGGCCGTGCGACGCTCGAGGGCACCGGAGATGAGTGCGTCGTCAAAGGCGCGAAGAGCTTCGGGCGAGCAAAAACCTGTGACGGGCTCGGCGTCGACGAGACTCTCAAACGCGTAACGTACGCCAGCAACGGAGTGCTTGACGTCGTTGATGACGCCTTGCAGGACGCTGCCGAGGCCTTGCGGTGCACCGGCGGCTTGGCCCACGATCGTAATCAAGAGCAGCGGTATCGAGACCATCGGGGTGTGCGAGTGGCGTCCGAGGGGCGACTTTAAAAGTGGTGATTCGGCTGGAAACGTTGGATGTGACAGATGTTTGTGTCGTGAGCGTAGACGCTCTAGCCATCTGACTCGGTGGATCATGATACGACACCAGACAGTCGATCTGGTGATATGGCACTCTGCATGCTACTAGTACATGTTCAGTGCGGTACAGTATTGACTGCAATGCCGAGCTTATGCAGCTCGGTCCCAACACGCTAAAAATTGATGCAGGCGTTTAGGCTTGAGGTGTTGAGTCGTCATGATGGATAACTTTTCTCTCTGGGAGCTGCCACAATCCAAGCCATCCCGGTCACTAATCACGTGCTGGGATTGGTGCAACTGCCGCGGCTCGGATTGTGGGGAGATGTGTGCAAAAACATCCATTTGAATATAAACAAAGATTTTTCGCGTTGGTTGGTTCGCTCCTGGCTCTGATCAGTGTCTCATTAGGGTCATGAGCGCGTCGTCCTGGCTTTCAAGCGTGATGCTTCATGCGTCAATGTAGTCAGTTCAGCAATGACATTTTGCCTCATCGGCAACGACTACGCCCAATCTCGTGTTCCGATGCTTTCAGCTCACGGTTGCTTCGACGGGTGCGCTGCTTCACTGCGCTCTGCACCGGAACGAAATTCCTTTTATCTCGTGAGCGAGTGTACGTGTGGCATCGATGAAATGGAAGCAATCGCTGTGTATCGCGAGCTCCGTTGCCGTTGGTGTATCAAAATCAAAGACTTGGCAAGGAGCTGGCCCAATGACGTGGCGCTCGGAACGTTGGTTTTATGCGGAGTATCCGGATACCTGTGTAGAGGCTTGTCGTGGCACACTGATGGTCTATCTGCCTCCACTAGCATCATTGACTGATGATTGGGGGCTGGTGGCGATGCATCCGCGTCGACTCGCGCGATGTCATCGCTCCAAGCCCACGTGGTCTCACGCCCTCCCAGCTAAGTCTCTTTGTGGACGTATTTGGCGCCGCACTGGACATCGACGACGACGACGCGTACGACGTGATCGCGTTTAGCGTCCGGGCAGTTGCCGATGATATGGCGGCGCTTCTGCCCGCCTCCTTCTGGCCTGCCATGCATCGGCAAGACGAGTACAGGAGCTTTTTGCGAGTTATCACTTACGGCGGTTGCGTAGGGGACTCCCGGCCGAAGTACAATCGTCGGCATGAATCCCGAGGTCAATTCGCTTTCCGTCCTACGTAGATGCGCCGCCAACTGAAGCTTCGCCTCGCCTCGTGTGTCTCTACAAAGCTGCCTTTCTTGGACACAACCGCCGAGCGCGTGCTCATCGAGGCGTTGGCGCTCGCGTGGACCGACGCCGCGGCGCCAGCGCGCAGCATTGACGGTGTATTGTCGTCCGGTGGTGCAACGACCCATGCGCTCTCCGTGCTCATTCGGTATCGTCCTCGTCCCGTAAATTGCCGCAATGTAGTTTGCGTAGGGCGGCGCTGGGTCTCCTCGACGAACGCGAGCTGCTCCAGCGCGTTGAGTTTTCGCTCATGGTGCGTGTCGTCAACTTCAGCATTCCGATCCCGTTCTCGGCCGGCCTCGCGCCAACGCTGGTGGAGGACTTGCTCGCTGTCACCGAGACGGCGATTGACGAGACGCTCGAAACCTACTTGAGAGAGACGCCACCAGCGTCGGCGTTCATCGGTCTCCTCGAAGAGAACCTCGTGAACCACATCCTTGCCCACAGCGCCCATCGCCCCGTCCCCGCGTCCAACGACTCGTTTCCCATGCGCATCGAGCGCGCGCTTCTCTCGGCGGTCGTGGCCACCTACTTTCAGCATGGCGCCGACCCGCGCAAGGTCGAGTCGATCCTCGCGCTGTATGTCGCCCACAGCGCCGCGCGCTACCGGCGACGCGCGAGCAGTACAAGTCAACTCGTCGCGTAAATAGAAGCGGCTGTGATTCATCAATGCAATATTACGAAGCCGCGTAGTTGTTGGGCTGGAGCGCGACGCAATCCTTGGACTTGAGGAGGCGCCGAACGATGTGGCGCAGGCGCCAGCGCAGCTCGTCCTCCGAGACGACGGCAATGTCGAGCGGGTACGCTTTCAGGAGCATGCGCTCGAGCTTCCTCGCGAGCGCCGTGAACGTCTCTTCCCGCACGAGCGCCTCGTAGCGGCACGACCGCTGCAGAAGCGACGCGATCAGAGGCGTGCACCGCGCGCGCGGCCACGCAGTCGTTACGGTGTCGTCCTCGGGCGTCAGCGTCACGAGAGGGCGGCACATGGAATTTGAAACTTGCGCCGCAAGCGCTGCGCGCGCCTCTGCGTGTCTATGGCAATCTCGGACGCGTCCATGCGACAGCCCGCGAAATATAGAACCGCCAATCAAACGGTGTAAAAACCGACGCGTTGAAGCCAAGGCCGGCACTCGCACGATGCCACGTAGCATCAAGCCAATGAGGGACGATGAATCCCAATGGATGAATCCTGCTTTCGATGTACCATCACGCTAGCAGGGTGGCTGCAGGCGGTGGGCAAACGGTCGACAGACAGTAGATGCACCACCGCGAGGATGTCAGCGCCGTGGCTACAGCCACTGTTTCTTGCCTCACCATCGCCGTCCGATTGAGCAGCAACAGCGTGGCTGGGATGCAAAAGGACAATTGCGTGCTGCTACGAGGGGGCTCCGGGGATCTGCTCGCGGTGGTCGTGCGTCGGGTTCGAAATATCCGCTAGCATAAAAACGCTCTGTCGGTTACAAGAGCCATTTTGGCGGTCATCACCACGTTTAGTCGGTTAGGCGTACCGAGGACCGGTTTCGTGAGGACCTGGCTCGCTCGGACTTTGATTTGATGGCCGAAGGGAAACCCCGAGCGATGGCCGACGAACTCGTCCTGGCTGCGGCGTCGGACGACATCCGGCATGCGCTCGAGGCGATGGAAGACGATGCAGTCATGGACATCCTCGCGCAGCCCGAGTCGATGGACCTCGTCGAGGCTTGGATGACCAAGGTACAAGCTGGTGCCGACCCCGACGCCGCACGAGGGAACGACGACGATGTGCTCGAATGCGTCATGGACACGCACGTCAAGCGCAACCTGAAGACGGCGCTGTCTGCAGCGACCGTCGACTTGGCCTGGCTCCGCCCCAAGGACCCGCTCTTTGCCCGGCAGCTCTTGTCGCGGAGCCAAGGGGCGGGCGACACCGAGTCGCTTGCCAGCGGACCGCACGTCTGGTTCATTAAGCGTGCGCTGGAACTCATCGACGTCGTCCGCGTGCTGCTCAAGGTTCCTTCCAGCGTGACTGTCGAGACGCACGAGGTATCGCTGGCAAATCCACAAGCATGCAGTATTCTGTTTGTAGGAAAAGTCCTTCCAAGCGCTGGATCTCGTGCTGCAGCTCACGCACTGGCTTTGGGCGCTCAACCCAACGAAGCTCTCGACGCTGATTCACGGGGACATTTTGGAGCTCACGTCCGAGCTGCTCTTGGCCACGTGCTCGGCACACAATGCGAGTCATATCGAAGCGTGGTGCCGCCGCCTCTTGGCCGCGATCGAGACCAACGTGCATCGCCACGAAACAAGCAAGATTCGGCGTCTCGTGACTGACGTCCAGGACCTCCTCGTGCACGTCAAGCAAGATACGACGCCGTTCCATGCCGCCCTGCACGTCCCCCGCATCAGCGCGCCCGTGCTGCAGGCGCTTGATATGGGGATCTTGGCACACTACAACGAAACGCGCGTCGACGCCAACGTATGCCACCTTGCGGACCGCCCAATCGCTCACAAGTGCCGAGCGTAGGACGAAGCTCTGCGCCGGCGGGTGGTCGACGACCTCCAGAAAGTCGTCAAGAGCTCGTTCGACCGCAAGTGTGGTCTGCACCTCTACGGCAGCTCGCTCTCGCTCTTTGGTGCCTTGTCTCGCTGATGCTTTGCATCTAACCTGTGTACGCAGGCTCCAAGGGCTGCGACATTGACATCACGGCTGTCCGCCGGACGCCGAATTCGCCCGCAGCGCACAGCGGCATTGGTGCCGCCCGCCGCCAGCAGTGCGTTGCTTCGTAGCACCACACCTCTGTACACCGCAGTGCTGTGTAGTGACGACGCTCTCAAGGCCATGGGACTCGCTGCGCGGTGCGCTGAGGCACTTGACCAGATCAAGGGGGATGCAGCAAAGGCGCTTGCGGCGTACACGAAAATCAAGTCGCGCTGCCCCGCAGACATGGCCAAGACCCCTGCCAAGATGTAGGACTTCGCGGCCGTCAGGTTTCGCACTCACACGTGTTGGCTGTAGCGCGAACCAACTGCAGCAAGCCCACGTGTTTCTTCGTGCCGCAAACAGTCTTGTGACGATGACGGAGCTCATGCTGCCGTCCAAGTCCTCGCCCGCGTCGCCGTCGCTCGCGGCGACCAAGAAGCAAATCCATCTTGCGATCCAAGACGCCGATATCCAGCGCAAAGCCATGTACCGGCTCTCCGGAGCGCTGCAGGTATTGGTTCTGCACCATAGACGGCACTCATCCCACTGCAGAGAGGTGGGTGTACGGTCGAGCAACTCATCCTTGGCGCCCGCGTGCCCATCATCAAGTGCGACCTCTGATATTTACGATACGGGAGTGATGATTATGTACAGATTTCTCCACACTGGGAGCGGTTTGGAGGGTGACATTTGCATGGGCAACTTGCTCCCGACCAAGAACACGCTGCTGCTTCGCACGTACGGCGAGTACGACCCTCGCGTCCGTCCGCTGGTTTTGGCCGTACAACCAACCGATATCTACCGCCAAGTGTGAGCACATGTCTCTAGGTCAAGCATTGGGCAAAAGCTCGCCGCATCAACGATGCCTCGATGGGCACTTTGAGCTCGTACTCGTATGTGCTTTTGGTGATCCACGTTCTGCAGGAGGCCGGCGTGTTGCCCAACCTCCAAGACCCTGGTCTGCTCCAGAAGCTCGGAGTGCCTTCCGAGGTACACTCGATTCCACTGTGACGTCGGTGCGACCATTTCGATACAATTAGGAACTCAACGGCTGCAACGTGGCCTTTTGCCAGAACGTTGCGCGCGTCAAGGCAGTGGTCTCGCTTCCCGACACGCAGAGCCTCTCTGTGGCGTCGCTCCTCGTTCGCTTCTTCCTGTACCTCAAGCACTTTGACTGGTACGGCCGCAGCGTCGCGATCCACCGGTCCGAGCTGCTCACCAAGCAAGAGCGGTGGGGCGCCAAGCGCAAGGCGTGGCGCATGAGCATCGAAGACCCGTTCGAGCTTGACCGCGACCTCGGCGTCGTGCTGCAGCTCGGCGGTCAGCAGGTACAACTACCTCAAGTGTGCTGAGGAGCTAACGGCCGAGGACAGAAAATCCTCGAAGAAGTTGACCGCGCTGTGCGCCTCATCGTGGGCGAAGACGCGACGTTCGAGACGCTCACGGCCGTTTTGCCCAAGCCGCTTACGAAGAAGGAAAAGAAGGACGTCGACAAGGCGACGCGCCAAGAGAAGCGCAAGCCGAAGAAGAAAGCCGACAACACCGACAAGTTGGCAAGCAAAACGACGGACGAAGCCAAGCAGCACGAGACGCCCGATGGGACCAAGACCGCCAAAGGACCCAAAAACGCCAAAAAAGCCAAGAGTACCGAGCCCATGGCTGCTACGAACGACGAGGCGGTCACAACGGCAGCTGAAAAGCCCTTGTCGGCCAAGAAACCAAGAAAAGCCAAGGTCACTCGGAAGGCAACCAGTGACGACTCGAAGCCACCCAGAGAGTCGGAAGCGCCGACACCGCCGGTCGGAGCGAGAGAACGCCACGAAGGCGTGGACACTGCGCCGCCACCTGCGCCGAGCGATAGCGCAAAGTCCAAGACTCGCTCCCGCCGTGGCAAGAAGAAGTCCAAGACGGGAGACGTCGCGCCGACAGCCACCTCGTAAGTTCGTGGTGTACTTTTTGACGTTTGAAAGAACAGTACGGAATCTATCAGTCTATCAATGTTGACGTCAATTACGATTGGAAGACGCTCTTGAGATGCTTCTCGATCGACGTTTGCATTTCCTTGAGCAACGACTGCAGCCACGCGTCGAGAGACGATCCGTCCGGGCTCGTGCCTTCGTCGTGCTGCAGAAAAATGGACGAAAAGACGGGCAAAATGTCCTTTTGCACAATGGACCGAATCGCATCCTGCCGCCATGTAGCATCAATCCTTTACGCTCGTCGTGTACCGTGGGCAAAACCGATTTGCAGGGCAATATCTGGCCAGACAAGTGGACGTTCACGGTGGGAGCAACGACGCATAGTCGTACGAGCGACTGCATGGCCTAGTTCGTGAAGAAGTCCATGAGGTCTAGCCATGACATGAAAGCTACGTGCCTTCTCTAGTGCCTTGGTGTGCAGCTGGTGCTGAGCATCCAAGCGCGCGGCAAACTCGTCATTCTCGACCTTGACGGCTTTGAGTTCGGTCTGGAGTGTGTGCACCTGCCCACGCTGCTTGAGCACCTGATTCTGCGCCACGCCGAGCTTCTCGAGTTGGTCCCGGAGCTCCGAGTGCATTTCCGCGGCGCGGGAGCACTGGGCGTCCCGCGCGTCCTCGAGTGCGCGCACTTTGACCTCGAGCGATGTATGGTCACAGGATTTCGAGAGCAGCGCCTTCTCGAGCTGCTCCAATTGGCGCCGCGCGATGTCAAGTTCGGCCTCGAGTCGCGTTTGCAGCGTAAAGTGATCGGAGATCGCAGCGTCGCGCTCGCCCTTGACCGCACTGAGCTCGGCGAGTAGCGCGTCGATGCGGCCGTTCAAGCCCACCAGCTCACTTGATGTTTTTCGTCGCAGGAGCTGAAGGTGTTGCATCTCGCGATCCGTTTCCTCCATCGCGCTCACGCGTTTGCGCTGATCGAGCTCGAGCTCTGCGACGCGTGCGTTCAATACCTGGTTCTCGTCGGCGAGCTGCTTGCCGTTGGCTTGGGCTGCTGCCGCCGACGCCTGCCATGACTCAACGTCGTTGCGCAGCTGCTGTAACACTTGGTCATGCGCTACTTGAAGCACTTGCGTATCAAGCTCGCGCTGCTGTTGTTGGGCAGCAGACGCGCAAGCTTGGGCTTGGAGCGTGTCCATAGCGCTTCGCGCTGCGTTCAAGAGCTGCGTCGTTGACTGCAAGGCAGTTTCGAGCGTCGATGTTTGCTGCCGCGCCGCCGCGAGCTCGGAGTGCGCGCACTCGAGCTGCGTGTGGTAGGTGTCGAGCAGTTTTTGTTTCTCCCGCGTCAGCTCGATTTGCTGCTGCAGCTTTCCGACCAACTCGTCCGTCGCGTCGGCGCTGGGAGCGATCGCGTGCTCGCGCAAGCTCTGGAGATCCGCATCGAGCCTATGCTGCATGAGAGGGCTGCGTCGGTAGACTCGACGCACTGATCGAGCTGCGCGCGCTGGTTTGCTATCGTGCGCTCGGCGCTGTCGAGGCGCGTCAGTGCGTCGGACAGTTGTAGGTCTTTCTTGGCACTTGCTGCCGCGAGAGCTTGACGCTGGACGTGACCTTCCGAGAGCTACGAGGATTCATCGTCGCATCAATTCCGCTTCTTCAAGCTTTTGAACCTTGACTTGGAGATCGTCAACAACCGGTTTGGAAGTCTTGGCGTCCGTCTTGAGTTTCTTGATTGCCGCGCGAAGTGTAAAGCAATTGGAGCAGCCCGACGAGGGCTTGGGACTCGTTGCCGTCGCAATCGAAGACCGGAATTGACCGCCACCCACAAATTTAGAGTTGCCACGCATGCTACAGCCCATGATACTTCAGTGCTACTTGCAGAAAAAGGCTTTGAGAACCGTTCGACGAGCGACTCTTGAAGCCGCGCAACTTCATTTTGCAGTGCCGAGTTGTGTGCATGGACGCGCTGGAGCTCATCATGCACGTCGCTATAAGTCTTGCTGTGAGCTGTGCGATGGTACAGACACCTACGGGCCATCGCGCGCCGACGACTGTGAGAGGGAACTGCTGTCCAGTAGCAGATCAAAGGCTTCAGAGTAGCCCTCGCTCGGCGTTTGGTTTTCGTCGTCGCCTTGGTTGCGTGGCGAGGCGTCAACAAGGCTCGCTGTCGAGCTGTTTGGGCGCAAGATTGAGAGGTGGGCCATTGAAACGTTCAGGCTCCGGCGCGTTGAAGAAGCGCTCTGCGGTGATGTGAGCCTTCGCGCCGAGCCTGGCGCCACCTTGTCTTGGCCATTCGTTGGTAGCTTCGCGCGCGCCCAGTTCTGCTTCGACCGCGGAATCGGCGGCAAACCATTGAGCGACGCCATTTCCGGTCTGGCGCGATGCAGTTTCAAGCTAACTATTTTGGGGAATTCGTAGCATTGCTCTCTTTTACTGTAGTCATGCATAGTACGCAGCAAGGTGTGCACACGCCCAGGTTATACCGGTAGCTTAATGACGCAGGATTGACATGTGAATCGTACCTTGTCATCTTGAATCGACTTTCATCCACACACATGTTGTTCGGCCGAATCACCTCGCCTGCCGGTATTAATAACAGTAGCCCGAGCTGGTTAGGGTTGTGTGGGTTATCCATCGATATAGAAAGGTCGGCGCAATATCCGGATGCGTAAGACTCCGGATAGCATACCGGACTTTCTAAAAAATATCCGGATGTCGAAAGATCCTCGAAAAGATCGCGTTTGCCTTTTCATTTCGACATTAGCATCGCATGGCTCGAGTCGTTGCGGCCGTCTGCGCGGCCCTCTTGGCGCAGGTCCACGCCCAAGGCTTCTTCGGTACGTCGCATTGGACGGTTGATTACCGTGTATCTCATGGGTCGTCTAGTGTGCCCGGCACCGTGCGAGGCCATGTTTCTCCCGCAGGACATGGAGTCGAACGAAGATTGTATGTGCTTTGGCGACGGCAAAGCCGCCGGCCTTGACAACAAGCTCTCCGTGCGCTTCCTCCTCAACCAGGCGATGCCCAGCCTCTCGCGGACCTTTCGATGCCCCGATGGTGCTTTGGCCAAGGTCCTGCACCCCAAGGCGTTTGCCGATTGCGAGTGCAAGCCCGGACTGCAACGCGACGAGGCTGGTGGTGCTTGTATCGACGTAATCACGTGTCGTGGCCGCTATGTGCTCAAGTCTGGTCTTGTGCACGCGCGGTCGATCGCAGACTGTGCGTGCCAAGAGCCCTACACGAAGGACGACGCAACGGGCGAATGCTACTTGGACCACTGCCCGCGTGCGGCCAACTATGTGAAAAAGACGTCGCTGGTGGGACCAGTCCACTCGCTGGTCGACTGCGATTGCGCTGCGCCATACACCAAGAACGCGCAGAGTGGCGAGTGCTTCCTACATTTTTCGTGCCCAGCGCACGCGTCTCCGCCAAAGCAAGGCTACGCCAAGTCGGTCTCCGACTGCACGTGCGACTGGGGCTACGTGCGCAACCCGACGAGCAGCGAGAAGGCGGGGCCGAGTGACTACTGCGTGTCCGAGACGCCAACGTTCATTTGCCCGCCGCACTCGCGTCCGATGGCGTCGCTTTCGACGGCGCCCAGCAACTTTATGCAGTGCGAGTGCGCAGTCGGGTTTGAGCGCGACGAAAAGCTCGAGATGTGCAAGGAGCCGCTGAGCAACGGCATCTTGCGCGGCGCGACGTCGCCCGTCGTTGCGTTTACCTGCCCTGAATTCGCGGTCGCCATGGCGCCGCACCCGTACTCGATGCAGCAGTGCCAGTGCCTCCCGGGCTTCGTGCCCAACTACGGCATGCAGTCGTGCGACTGGACCCCCGACTTTTACAAGTGTCCGCCACACGCGTTCAACCCGTACCCATCGTTGCCAGCGCTGGACTTCATGGACTGCCAATGCGCCAAGGGCTACTTGCGCAACGACCGTAACAGCTCGTGCGATGCCAAGCCGCCGCTCAACGAGAACGGCTGCCCATTGCACGCAATTGTTCTGCAATGGCCCGTGCACGCCCCGAACTACGACTGCGCCTGCGTCCACGGACGCGTGTTGGAGCCGCCGTCGATGCTGGGCGCCGAGTATCAAGCGCTTTCGCAGCGCTTTGCCGGTGAGAACGGCAGCGACACGATGGTGTGCAACGCGCCACCGCCAACGGCACCGTCGACGCTCTGCCCCACGAACGCCGTCATCAACAACTGGCCTGTGACCAAGATCAGCGATTGCAGCTGTAAGTCGGGCTACGATCTTCAGGTTGGTCCGGTGCCTGCGACCGCGCTGACGACGATCAAGGCGCCCAACAGTGACAACAGCGGCATGCTGTGCGTGCCCACGGTGGCAACGAACCGCCTGCCCGTGTGCGGTGCTGGCATGGTGCGCAGTCCCAACGACAACTCGTGCCGGTACCTGGCCGAAGATGTCTCGCTTGCAGTCAAGAAGGGCGGCAAGATCGTCGTTAACGGCAACGAGCTGGACTACGTGCTTGTCGAGGACGACGTCATGGTGACGCAAGGCGACATTGCCGTGGGTATTTCGTTTGGGTTCTTCGACACCCTCGACGAGATGGACGACGATTACCACTTCTACCTCCTGCACGGCTACTACAACATGGAGAAGGACAACCGCTGGAAGAACGTACGTCGCGCGTCACCCGTCCATCTTGTGCTCATAGAAACAATGCATTAGGCCAAGATGTGCTACACGGTGGATCCCGGCATCGCGAGCCGTCGCAGCGACTTGGTGGCGGTCATGGACCACATTACGTCGAACACGGGCTTTACCTTTCTCGAGTGCCACGAGTGGTACTGCGATGACCACCTCAACGACTGCGACGACTTTGTCGATTTCGTGCCCACGGCCGCGTCCTGCTACTCGTTCGTGGGGCGCGTTGGCGGTCGCCAGGCGCTCGGCGTCTCGAACGATTGCGCCTTTGGCAACCTTGTGCACGTGCTCCTGCACGCGATCGGTCTGCATCACCCGCTTGTACGCCCCGACCGTGACGCGCACGTCGCGATCGCGTGGGAGTGCGTCGACGCGACGAAGCGGTCGTACTTTGCGGTGGAGCACTTGGAGGCTATCTACGGCGCGGGGGCCGTCGCGATCGTCGGCGCTGAAGTGCCGTACGACTACTACAGCATCATGCACCACCGGTCGGACGCGTTCGTGAACGCTTCGGGAAGCAGCTGCATGACCGTGATTCCGCGGATCGAAGACGTTTACGCCCGCCAAGAAGTGATCAACGAGATGGGCCAACGGGACAAGATGTCGCTCACCGATATCCACTACGTCTGGGCCCTCTACCCCGAGTTGAAGGTTGGCCCGAAGAGCAACGTGACCCAGATGGAGAACGGCGGCGCAGCGATCGAGATGGCGGTCGAGGCTGGGTCGTACCACGAGAGCCGGCTGCACACCAAGGCAGACGCGATCGACAGCCACGGAGCGTCGACGTCCAACGTGGTCGGCGCCGTCGTCTGCGTCGTCGGGTTCCTCGCGATGCTGGGCTTTGGCTTGGTCGAAATGAAGCGCGTCGCCAAGCGCCAGGATGAAAGTCTGTACTCGGACCCTCTCCTCTCGGACCCGATTTACGACTAAGATGATGTGTATAACAACGCGCATGGGTTTTGATTCTTCTTCTATCTAGAGGGATGTTATAGCTTACTCGGCCGCGACGGGCTCTTCTTCGACGGCAGCGGCCGGCGCGAGGAGCTTGTCGAGCGTCGCGTTCGAGTGCACGCTGCCGAGGGTCATGAGCTGCTTGACGTGCGCCGCCTTGGCAGCGACGTCGTCCGCAGGCAAGTCCTTAAGGAGCGTGATGAGGCCGTGGGCGTTGAGCATCTTGCCCGAGCAGCCTTCGAGGGCAAAGGCCCACGCCTGGTCCATGTTGCCCTGCGCCTTGCTCAACCTGCAGCAGACGTCAAACATGAGTTCATCGTTCAGCACAAAATGAATGACGTACTGGATCAAGGCCGTGAAAACCTTGGTCGTCAGTTCAATGCCGTGGGCCTTGAGGGTGGTGTAGACCTGGAGGCCCTTCTCGAACTCGCCCTTTTCCGTAAAGGCGGCGATGAGGTTGGCCGCCGAACCGTTTTCGATGTGCTTGGAAAGCTTCTTGCTGCCCTGCATCCACTCGAGGGCCAAGTCGGCCTGGCCCGTCTTGATGCACTTGCTCACAAACGTGCCGGAGCAGTACGTCGGGATGTGGAGGAAACGGCTCTCGTAAAGCTCAAGCGCTTCACGCACGAGAGGAAGGTCCTTCTCACCCTTGATCTCGCGGACGACGAACTCGAGCTTCTTCTTGGGCAAGTGCGCCGACGCGGCAGCGATCGAGTAGACCTGGCTGAGGTACTTGATCTCTGCGACCGTCGACTGGAGCGTGGGTGGGCCCGTGTGCTTCGGGCGCATCGGGCGCGCCGCCGCCTTGGGCGCAGCACCCGAGAAGCTGCGGGCTGCCGTGAAGGCCAGCGGCGACGCGTTGAGGCGAAGGACGGCGCGGGACAGCATGATGGACTGGGGCAAAATGCGATTTATTGGCCGTGAGCAGGTCAGGAGCTGTCCGGATAAACCTGTATAAAGTATTAGAAAATGCGGTCCATGGCGATCTTCTGCGATCTTTGGCGCGATTGCCGAGGGTATCTCGAGGTGTCACTACATCGCAGGTATTGACGAACACGACCAATGGAGGCTCCGTCCTCTTATAGCTTCGTTCGCCGAGTCGTTTCCAGTACGATTGAGCTTCAGTACACTCGGCAAGTGAATGAAGAAGAATACAATACATTTGTCAAGTCTCCCAGATTACGTTGGCATATATACACTTGGTCAATTTTGGTTAAGAGCAAGCTACATCTTATTGTTGTCTTACCGCACTTGAGGCTGGTACTCGTCGAGTTTGTCGAGGAGTGTCTTGGAGTAGTTGGGCGAGTAGTACTCGACAATTTCGGGCGGGTAGCAGTTGTTGATCTCCATGATGTACTCGGTAAGCTTTCCACCCGCGGCCTCGCTGAGCTCCTGAAGGAATTGAAGGCCACCGTTCTGCACAAAGGACCGGCGGGCTTCGAGATCGTGCGGTAGCATTTGTGCAAACTGCTTGAGAATGTACTTTTGGACCTTCATGGGCGCATCGCGCAGTAGCGGCTGGAGCGCCTGGAGGTGCGTGCACTTGGCGAGAATCGACTTGAGCGCGCGCTTCGCCTTGGTCTTGAGGTCGTCCGACGAGTTGGGATGGATCATGCACGCGAGCAAGTGACGGAGCACGTCGGCCTCGGCAATCGCGCGCGCGTGATCGGGGGTGTGGCGGCCAATCTGTCCCAGCGTCCACGCGCTCGCCGCCTTGATGTGGTCCTCGGGCTCTGCGACGAGGGCGTTTTTGACGGGCGCGATGCCCTTGGTCGTGATGATGGCCAGCGCCAGCGTCTCGCTGAAAGCGGAAATGTACCCGATCGCCATGATACCCGGAAGCTTGTTGTTGCCCGACGCCTCGGCCACGTAGTCGACGAGCGTCGAGGCCCCGCCAGCATTGACAATGAGCTTGGCGAGCTCCGGCGTGTGCTTGGCGATTTCGCGGATGCAAGTCGCCGCGTTCTTGCGCACGCAATGGTCGATGTCGTTGAGATTGTGCAAAATGTTGGGGAAAATCTCGGCCTCGACGACGACCTCGGCCAAATCCACCGAGTGTTTCGCAATTTGCGCAAGACAGCTGCATACTTGCCTAGGCGTCAAATTTCATGAAGAAGACGACGCACAAGTGCAGAGGTACCGCTTGAGTTTGGCGTCCGGGTGCTGCACGAGCGGTGCCAAGTACGCGACGGCGCCCGGGTCAAGCACTGCCTGTGCGAGTTCGGGTGAGTGCTTTGCGATGTCGCTAAGCGCCGAGGCTGCGACGCGCTTGAGCGTGATTTCGGGCTCTTGGATGCAGAGTACGAGGAGAGGCACGGCGCCAGCGTCCACAACGCTCTGGGCAAGCTCACTCGTGTGTTGCGCAATGTACCCGATCGCCCACGCCGCGGCCTCCTTGACAGTCGGGTCAAACTCTTCGAGGCAAGGGACCAGCGCCTCGAGCGCACCTATATGACACTGGTGCTACAAAGCCGTGAGTGACAGTGAATACCCGAGTCGACGACGGCCTGAGCAAGCTCTGGCGAGTGCTTGGCCACTGCGCGAAGTACGAATGCCGCAGCCTTCTTGTAGAATCGGTTTTGCTCCGACAGCGAGTAGACGAGCTGCGGAAGAATCTCATTGCCAACAATGGCCTCGGCAAGGTCATCGCTGTAGTTGGCGAGTCGACCCAAGGCCAACGCCGCCGACTGCTGGATGCTGGGTACCTATTATTGGCAACGTTTACATCCAGTTGGACGCAAGGCGGGAGGTACGTTGTCCAGGAGAAGCGGGCGAAGGAGCTGCATCACGCCAGCGTTCTGCATGACCTCGATGTTCTGCGGGCGCGTTGCCGCCTCCGCGACGGCCTGGACGAAGCTCACGCGCGCCTTTTGGTACGTCTCAAAGTGCTGCAGCACGGACGTCGACGCCATCTTGGAGGAGTCCGGCGAATGCGAAAGTGGTTTCTTCTCTCGAAACGGAAACCACCGCCGCCGGAAACGTATCCGAACAGGAAAGGGCGGTCGTATTTCATTGCAAGCGGGACGCGGGATTAAACCTGCAAGGCTGGGCTGGCCCCATACGAGATAGTAGTAGACTTCTGAGTCACTGCCACGGTTGTTGGACAATAACAGCGCCGTATATTCGAGATAGCTGGTGTCGATGAGGCAAGTCTCGTAGCAGCAAGCCCAGCAGTCCCACCACAATATCAACAGCGCCTGAAGCACTGTCGTTTTGGCCAACGGTGACTTCATCGTATGAAATGAAAACGGCACCTTGACACAGGGGTACATACCCCTGCCTTGACATCTGTCGGTGCACCAATCGAGCGAACCGCATTCAAACATTGAGAGTGACCGACTCAATACGAGACGTCCGTTTGAATCCGGCGGTGAAGACTCTCCACAGCAGATCGAGAGGCAAAGACTTTTGCGTTGGGTGGCAATCTCACAGGCCTGGGTAGGGTTTGGAGTAAGCACAGTGACAGCTTGATGGTGCAAGCGCACCGGTGTCCTTGAACTCGCGTGGGCCATGTCGGCGCCATCGATGGCGGTCGCTACCGTATATGTGTACAAGGTCGTGAAAAGCGTTGTGCTGGGTTCGATGGATGCCTTTAGACTAAAGTGCACTCCAAGACTCGATTTTGTACGCATTAACTGTAAAACGTTTATAGGTTTTAATTAAACCTATAAAACGCAGTTGGCGCGCTGTCTGATTGGTCCAGGCAAAAGCATTTTGAAAACTCGATCGATCAATGACGCATCACTGCCTTGACCGCGGCGACCCGGCAGAGGTCGACGGTGCCGTATCCTTCAAGGGCCAACGCATCTCCTATGACGAAGCCAGCGACCGTATGCGCTGCATTTACACACCCAAGCTTCTCTTCCAAAGCTCCTCGGAGCTGCGCAACTACGGATTCTGGGGCTTCACGACAGGGTCCGAGTTTCCAGAACTCTCACCAGCCGACGCTGCGCAACTCGATGCCGGCGCCGTGCACGCGCATGTCGACGTGCGACCGATTTCAATTCCTGGCGTCGGAGAGCAGCTCGGCTTGTTTGCGACGGCACCGATCGCTGGCGACACGCTCCTTGGTGAATACACAGGCGTCGTTCAGGTCGACCGAGGCGACGGCTTCGACAGCTACGGCCTCGCGTACCCGTCGGTCTTCGAAGATGGCAACATGGTTGTGAGTGCAAACGAGTACGGCAATATCATTCGGTGCGTGAACCACAGTTTTCGCCACTTCAACTGCCGGTTTGCGTCCGTCCTCCATAACGGCTTTCTTCACATCGTCTGCGTACGCACTTCCCGAGCTTGCATGTACCGTCTCATGTGCTGTGTTTTGGGTAGAAAACGCTAGGGCCAATTACTCCCGGGACGCAGCTTCTTGTCAATTACGGTCCATCGTACTGGAAAGAGGCTGGTGTCACTCCTTTTGAGTGGTCCGCTGGCGACGCAGATGACCCAAAAAACGCTTCCACGTAATAAACGATTAGGAACCAGCGCGCTTGGCATCTTGGAACGCAACGTAGTGGGCGATCGACGCCGGTGTCGAGACGGGGCGGACAGACGCCAGCGCAGCGACCAAGTGACGCATCTCAATGGCGTCGGCAGTGATGTCTTCGCGAAGCGCGAGCAGCGCTGCCTCCCGGCACACATTCTAGATAAGACGTATGTGCGATATCGTTGGATAAGTGGGAATTTGTACCTCGAGCTCGGCGCCGCTAAAGTACGGCGAGCTGTGAGCAATCGCCATCAAGTCGACATCGCCCGACAGTTGCGCATGTGCCGTGTGAATCGTGAGAATCTACGCACAAGTCAATCAATCCCTCACCGCCGAGTTGATCAACCGCACGTGGAGACGATCAGAAGCTTCTGGCAGCGGCACATACAGCACGCGATCGAAGCGACCGGGGCGAAGCAGCGCTGCATCAATCATGTCGGGACGATTGGTAGCGCCGATGACAAGCAATCCTATCGTGCGAGCGCGTCGTGAGTAGATTGCCGGCGATGCTATTCATGGCTACCATCGGTGGCTTCAACGCCGTCCATCTCGTTCAACAGCGTCGAGAGCACGCGTAGAGCCATGCCAGAGCCTAGCTGCATTATCAGAGATAGTAGTGCACGGCGTGACAGACCGCCAGATCCACCCTCGGCAAAGTCCCGCTTGGACACGATTGCATCGATTTCGTCCATGAAGATGATCGCCGGCGTCGCCGCCCGCGCATCTCGGAAGACCTACTCCTTGCTTTGAGAGCGACAATGATGGCCAAGATGCAATACCTGGCGAATCGCCGCTTCAGCGTCGCCAAAATACGGCGAGAAGACGTCAGCGGCGCTGAGCGTGAGAAAAGTTGCGTGCGACGCATATGCACAGGCGCGAACGATAGTGCTCTTGCTGCACCCTGGTGGGCCGTACAAAAGGATCCCTCGCGGCGGCTAGAAACACGCAGATGTAGTCATGTATGGGTTGAAGACGGCACCTTGAGATTGAGGCGCGCGAACGTCTCGGGAAACTGAAGTGGCCACTCGACAGCTTGCTGCAGCGAGAGTTTAATATCCTCTAGGCCGCCAATATCTGCCCATGTCACAGTGGCAGAGGATTCTTTCGTGAAGGTCTTCGCGCCTCGGAGCGCCGACGCCGGAGTCAATGCCATGGCATTCACGAAGTCTTGAGGCGTGACAAAGGCGCCGTCGTCATCGGGATTTTCGTCTAAAAACAAGCGCAGGGTATGGCAATTGTGCATTTGATAACGTACCCGCAGTCGAAGGCCACCTGCAGTAGCCCCAGTACATGGCCGAGAACTGTTGGTTGCGCAGGAAACGGAGGATGCGCGGTGGCGGCGTTCGGGACGTCTCTTGGCGACGACACGCGATGATGCACGCCTGCCGGCAGAGCGACGCAAGATCAGCCCCGACATAGCCGATGCATCTACGAAGCCCATAAGCGCAAAGCTCACACATGTGCGAATCCGCACTTGGGCGCCAAGAGCGCTGCCACGTCATCTCTGGAGACGTGCGCTGGCAATGGAATCTGGCGCAAGTGCACGCGCAGGATGGCTTCCCGCGCGGCAGCATCTGGCGGACGCAGCGCCACCTCTCGGTCAAAGCGTCCTAGATGTGCATGAGATCTAATGGCCAAGAACGCAAGAGACGGCGCACCGGGACGCCGGAGCGCGGGGTCGATTGCGTTCGGAAGGTTGGTAGCGCCAAAGACGAGGACACGAGGCGCTGTATCCTTGGCGTCAATGCCGTCCATGAGCGTCAGCAGCTGCGCGACGATGCGGCTGTGCGCTCGCGCACTCGTATCGCGCGCGGGGCAGAGCGCATCGAGCTCGTCAAGGAAGAGGCAGAACACGTGGCGCTGCGACGTGGCCGTGAAGGCGCGACCTTCAGCAAAGATGGCGCGGAGCGTTGCTTCAGCTTCACCGACGCCACGCGAGAGGATTTCGGCGCCGTTAATGACGTGCAGTTGCAAATGACATTCGCCTACACGAGTGGCTTGACGTTAGTGTCGCCAACGCAATCACGAGACCTTGGAGTTTGCGCGTGGCAGTGCGGACAAGAAGCGTCTTGCCAACTCCTGGAGGACCAGACAATAGCACTCCTTTTGGTAAAGCTACGCCGAGGCGCGCAGGAAGATCGTTGTGGTCGACGGCTAGCCGAATGAGCTCCTCGACCATCGCGAGCTCTTTGTCGAGACCACCAATCGATGTCGACGAGCTCGTTGGTGCACGCAGCGGAGCGTGGACTGACGTGGCGTCGGAGGTCGCAGATGCCTGAGCTCGAAAGAGGTTGACACGTGTTGCGCGAACGATGCGAACCGGTCCGTTAGCCGGGGCCGTTCTTGTGACGCGAAACTTTAGGTTCTTGGAAAGCGCGTCGGCGTCCGCGTACGGACCGTAGGACGGGAGAGGTAGGTAGACAACGGCCGACTCCTGGACAATGAGGCGGCGGGTTGCATCTTGAAGGAGCCGCTGGCACACGCCATTCTGCAACAGGCGATTGATTGCGTCCGGCGCGATGTCCACGGGCTCCATCGAGACAGTTGTAGCTGGCTGTAGCTTTGCTGCAACAAGTGCTACATCGACGGAGGGTGCCACATTCACGGCGCTGCGGCGGAGCGCCGCGACAGCACTGGCGGGGATCGCCACGGACGCGTCAAAAGCGATCGCTGCGTGGCGCGTTGCATGGGCCTTGCAGAGGTAGGCCTTCGTTCCGGAGAAGACGACGATCGGCGCCCCATTAGGCCAACGCCGTGCCTCCATGAAGTCCAGAGGGAGGCGGCATCGCGCCGTGAATCGATCAAACTCTTGGCTCGCGACGGCCACGGCGACACCCATGCTCGATGCTCGCAAGATACCGTCCAACGATTGGGTCGCACGGAATTATCCGGTAAAAACGCAAAAACGCACTCGTCCTCATTTAATCGCGTGAGTAAAACCTCGGGTGAAACACACGTTAAATGCAGCTCGAAACCGAAACGAGGTGAGGATTCAACCTACCGGTATGACCGCTGTCAGGCTCGTTCTTCTTTAAGTAGTAATGAATTAAAGGGTGTCCGAAGCGTGGCCTCGACGGGATAAATGTTACGCACCAGCTCACTACAGAGATATTAAGCCCTAAGCTTTCATGTGCAGTCCTCAATTCACAAACAAGACCCAGGTTGACTACAGATCACTCCGAGTGGAACTCAGCAATACAAGGCTGACTGGTACCAGTCTCGAGGCACAAGGGAGCCCTTGCTACCTTGTCGCTCAGCAATACTGTCCAGCATCACCAGACCCTCAGCCCCTGACCTAAAACATTCAAACCGGGATGCAGCAAGCGACTGCCGAGGAGACTGCAAGTCTTGCATTGCAGGCGCGTGCGCCTGCGCATGTTGTGAGGTAATGCACACTGGGTATTGCAAGACATCCTGTCTGCTTGGCATTACACTACTACCACAGCCAGTTCTAGCCACAGTTCAAGCCATGGTTCCAAGCTGCGACGCTGCTAATAACTGTGCAGGAGCGAGACGGCGATCCAAGAGGCGCCGCGTGCAGAATGTGTGTGTTTCACACCGGCAACGCCTCCAACCGCCTCGTGTGCAATGGCCGTTCGTACGTTACCACGGCTGGCGCCGGCAGAAAATGCAGTGTCCTAGCGAAGTAAAAGACGCAGAAAAGCCTCGGACGCTGGCGCTGCTGCGAGTTGATGTCGTCGAGAATGCTGGCGCCAAGTCATACGCGCGTGGGCAGTTTCGATTCGTTGGCGGCCAAAGCGCACTTGAACGAGTGCCTTCTCTCGAACTTTACCGGGAGCGTTTCTGCGTTTTTACCGGGCACTTTTATTCGGCGTTGGCGTAATAAAATACAGTTGCTGCCTACTGGCTAGTTCATTTTTTATTTGAGCGACTCGGCCATGGTGAAGATTGTGTCCCTCGGTACGAGCGGCGATGGCGACGACACGCGAGGTTCACAGCGAAAATGTATAGGTGTCCTCCGCCAAGAAGCGGGAACGAAGCCCATCATCCTCGCGAATGCGTTCGACCTCAACTCGTTTACTTATTTCAAGCGCTCTGGGTACGTCGGCAACTGCACGAACGTCATCGCTCATGCGTCGCGGTAGCGTCCGGGAAATGATCACGTTCTTCAGCCGCACGTTCGTCGAGCGGACACAGAAGGGTCAGCGCCAGTCGATCCAGCACGAAGGTAGGCGACTCTTGCTGCCTGATGAGGTAATGACGCGGGGCCCACGTAGAGTACAACTGCCACGTGTACGTCCGCCAAGATGGCCTCGCCGGTATCGTGGTGTGCGACCAAGACTACCCGCCACGCGTCGCGTTTGCGCTCATGAACAAGATGCTCGAAGAGTTCAACAAGGAGACGAACGGGTCTTGGGCACAAAACCCGGGCAACGGCAGCTTGGATTGGGCACCGCTGACAAAGGCGCTCGAAGACTACCAGGACCCGACGAAGGCGGACAAGATCTCGGCCATCCAGAAGGAGCTTGACGAAACGACGGCGGTCTTGTCCAAGACGATTGACAGCGTGCTGGAGCGCGGCGAGAAGCTGGACGACCTCGTGTCCAAATCGGCGGATCTGAGCAGCCAGTCCAAGGTGTTTTACAAGCAAGCAAAGAAGACGAATAGCTGCTGCGTCGTCATGTAGACGCCGGTCAGCGACAAAGCGGAACAATAGATATTCTTTTTGCGTCTAGCTTCCGCACCTGCGCCGGCTGGTGGCAGATGAGTGGCCGAGAGGCTGGGAGAGCTACACTGTACCACGCTCGGATGTGGCGCGGCGCACCTGCCCGATTTGAGGCGGACGGTCGAGAGCTGCCTGTCCTGCGTTCAGCTTTGCTGAAGCTCGTGGTCGACAAAGATCGTGGAGCCAATTTGGATGTTCGGACCCTCGCCGTGTGTAATTGCACTTCGGGCCCGAATTTTTCCGCTGGGTGCATTCGCTGTATCCGGACGCAGCCACCCATACTGGGCCCGATATCAGTTTCCGAAATAGCCCAACATCGGAACGTCGAGACAAGAGCGATGGCCGGCGCCCGCTTCGTCACAGCCCACGCGTGCTGTAAGGACGAGCTCTTCCGCTCCGACTACATCCGGTACGCCTCCGCTGCCAAGACTTGCTAATCGAGCCCACTGCGTAGTACCAACAAGGCGGGCGGCCTCAAGAGCCTGAGGTAGCGTGGACACAGCCACGCGCCTCACTTCGTCCCTAAGCCTTTTCGTACGCTAGGTGCTTTCCGCACTGCTGCCGCGGCCATCGAACCAAGACGTTCTGCGGTACAGGCGTCGCGGTCGAGTGCGACGTGCCCGAGTGCACGCTCGTGTACAGCTACTTTGCATGCAACGACTACGACCACGAGAAGCAGCGTCAGAACTTGAGCCCGTATGCGCACGATAGCAGTGCCAAGGAAGACGCGCCGATCACTTTTGCCGTTGGCAAGCGGTACCGCGTGGCGGATTTCGAGTCGCTCGTCAAGACGAAGGACAACCTCTTCGGCCCAATCTTCCCGGGCGCGCGGCAGCGAGTGCCGGACGCTTCGGCGGCGCAATTTGTCATCAATGGCGATCGGCAGTGCTGGCACTACGGCTGGTTCTCGTCACGCGTCGGGAACAAGTACACGCATTGCCTCAAGGTACGCCTTCTATGCACCGCCGCCACTCATCGAGTTAGGTCTTCTTTTTCCGGCCGGTCGCGGGAACGAATGAGATCGAGTGCATTGAGACGATTCGAAGCAACGACTTTCACATTCGGTCGAGTCGTGTCGTGCGCAAGCAGACTCGTCTCGAGCGCCGTAGCGTGGTGAACGTACCGTCGCCCGTCGACGTGGACGAGGTATCTCTGCGTCGCACCAAAGCGAGCAACTCGGAGCATCGTAGGACGATGTGACATGCTCATCGTCGTCGTCCGAACGCAAGGTGAAGGAAGAGTCCTCCGCCAAATCCAGTCGCAAGCGCGGTACAGTGAACGGCGCTGTCGCTAGGTTTGCTCATGCGATAGCGGTGTAGATATTCTGTGTCTCCTCAACCCCAACTCGCCCCGCGTGACCGAGAAAGTTGCGCGGCTTCAGCATGTGTCGCCGTCAGCGGCGATTCAAGGACGCGCGCTGCCGCCGCTTCTTGGCCTTTCGTCGCTCGTGCAGCGCTCGAACGACGTCTACTTCATCGTGCAAGTGCTGAGCCGCGTCGCCGACTTCCACACGGCAGGGCGGGAGAGCGACGAGGACAACGGACGCGTTACGCGCAAGTACTTCTCGCTGACGCCGTTCCACTTTTCTTTGTCAAGTCGCTCACGCTCGAGCTGCCGCTGTCGTGCCCGCGCATCACGTGCGGGTCACCAATGGAAGGCGTCTTCTCCGTGCTTGTCGCGGGCGTCGAGCGAGCGATCGCGCGCGGGTTCCTTGCCAAGCTCCGGGACTTTGTTTTGCGCCACCCCGTGGACTTGCTTGAAGCGTACAGCACCTTCCTTCGCTTCTTTGAGGATGAGCTGGTGCTCATGGCGCGAGAACTTCCAACACCATGCCACACCATGAACGATCTCGTCGAGTATGTCGCGAGTACCTTCGCGCACGAGCTCGGGGAGAAGTACAAGGAGCTCCTTCCGGCAAGGACACACGCGACCGAGCCGTCCGTTGATGCGCTTTATCTCGGAAAGGAGCTCGTGGCTGCTTTGGCGTCGTCGTCTACAGCGCCGCAGTGGAGCCCTACGCTTAAAAACGTAGCGTGTCTCATATCGATTGAGGGCTCACTTTGGCATAGAACGCCTTTTCTTCGCTCACAGGCAAGTGGACGCGCCTCTCCCTGCAGTGCCGTATGCAGCCGCAGCGTCACCCGTCGTGGCTCTATCGACTCTTGACGGACGTCGCGTCGCGCACGTGGAGCATCGACGACCGCGGCGACGAGATGCTGGTACGACGTCAAAAGTGTGAAAAGTGTAGTGTTCTAATCGCGACTAGATTCTGTGGCCGGGAAGCGTCGGCACGTCCCACATAATCCACAAACTCTGTGGCAAGCACCGGTACTTGGGCCAGTCGCCGTATGGTCTCCGGTCCGAGTGCACGCAGCTCGTGGGGTACCTCGGGAAGCGCAACTTTCGAGACAACACGGTCACGCTCGAGTACTACTACTGGCCCGCAGACGAAGCCGACTCGACATCGATGCGCAAGCGCCTCACGCGCCACTTTCGCACGCACCCGGACCACCCGCATCTGCTTGAGATCCACAACGTTCTCGAGGTCGCCCCGCTTTTCGTTCGTCCCTGCGCCAACACACTGATGCCGAACTGTAGGTCTGCAAGTGCCCCGACGCAAGCGACGATCCGTTGACGGCGGTGGCGCGGCTCAACTACCCGGGCGACTGGCGCCTCGAGTCGAGCTCCATGGACACGTACGAGCGAACGCCATAGAGATTTGTCGATTTGCTAACATATCACGACGCGTATTTAACCTTGGCAAACTCTGTTGTTGTTCAACTCTGTTCGAGACACTGTTCCGAGCGTCCGGATACTGTACAAGAAGAAGGCATGCTCGCCGACGTTCGCAGCCAGAAGGCAGTGCTGCGCAAGCACATTGCCGGGCTCCTGCGCGCCCTCTCGCGGGACGAGGTGGTCGCGCAGAGCGAAGCGCTCGCACAGCACGTCGTCGCCCTCGACGTCTTCCGCCATGCGCGCAGCGTGAGCGTCTACCTTGCGATGGAGGCCGAAGCCAAGACGTCGACGCTCGTGGACGCGCTCTTCGCGGCGGGAAAAAGAGTCTACGTCCCCAAGGTCATCGGCGCCAAGTCGGAAGACATGGTCATGCTGCGTGTTGATTCAGCGACCGAAATGGCGACCTTTCCCAAGGTACTACTGGCTTCCATGCCCGCGCTCGCGACGTCACGATAGCACTAGAGCAAGTGGGGGATTCCAGAGCCGCCGTCCAGTTTGCCCAGCGGTCGTCCTCGTATCGATGCACTCGACGCGCTGGACGTCGATATCGTGCTGGTCCCCGGAGTTGCTTTTGACCCTCGCTGCAACCGGCTCGGCCACGGGAAGGGCTACTATGGTACACGCCTTGCCACTCGTTCGCTTGTCATTCCAATGCGTATATAGACTGCTTCCTCGAGCGGTACGCCAGTCGAAATGGGGGGAAGCTCCCTGTCACCATCGTACGTGTCGAGTCTATGTGAGGGTACCTTCGACGACGTTGGGCACAGGGCATTGCGCTCGAGGCGCAGATTGTGGACGCTGTTCCAACGAGTGGTCACGACAAGATGCTCGACATGGTCGCGACGCCTCAAGGCATCCTTCGAAGCAGCGCGAGTAGTTAAAATCGCACGATTGCTTTACAGGATTAACGTCTTAAAGCAAGATGCGGTACTTCTCCGTCGATGGGACTTGATTGAGGACGACGCGACCGCTGTACGAGACGGAGGCAAAGAGCCACGAGTCGGCCGAGCCCCACGCAACCGAGTACACACTGTCTTCGTGCTCTTCGTAGCTCTTGATCTTGGCGTCGCCGACATCAACGCCTTGCTCCCTACACAGATGCATTGCACGTCTGCAAAATGGCGGGAAGTATGTACGAGTCGCCGTCATCCATCTCAAGCAGGGGCGCTGACGAGATCGACGAGACACGCCAGAGGTTCACAAGACTATCGGAGCTGGACGAGAGCACAAGCTGGTCGTGGAACCGGTTGTACTTGACGCACCAGATCCTAGGATACCGACTAAGATGATTTTTCACGCTTCGAGCTCAACCAGTGGCTGTGACCCGAGAGAGTCAGTAACGCCGTCTGCGGCTTGCGTAGATCCCAGAATTTGACTTTGCCATCTTCGCCGCCGCTTGCAATGTAGTACGGCTTGTTTGGGTTGTAGTCGACGTCGCGCGTGCACCCCAAGTGCGCATCTTCAATCACGTGCGCAAGCCTAGATCGCGAGCTTAAGTGGAGCAACGGGGTCTCTGTTTCGTACTTGCCAGAGCGAAGATCCCACGACTGAATGGACTCGTCCACCGTAGCGGTGATGTTGTGCCGATGGTGAGGATCCCATGTTACGCCTGTCAACTGCTTGCCTTCGCCGAGCGATACCTTGGTTGTCTCCTACCAGCGTGCGCATGAGGGACATTGCCAGAAGCACAGCCACTCAACCTTGCAAGCTGCGCCGCCCTCCGCAAGCGCCCATGTCGCGATGGACGTCGCATTGAGAGACGCAATCGCTGCTGCGCTCGTGTCTTCGTGCGGATTCCAAATCGCCCTATGCAGCATAATGCACTTCGTGTCTCATTCTGGCTATCGTACTTGTTAATGGCCGATTCCATGGTCGTTTGAGCTGCCAGTGTCATTTGGGCCGGTGTGTCGACGGACGTTGCGACGGGATCTTCGACGCTCTCGAGCTTCCAAACGGCAAACGTCGGCTCGTTGCGCTCTAGCACGGAGACGGCTCCGAATAGGCTACGAGAATGAGCGGGGTGTTGTACCCGATGTGAACGTCGTAAGAATCGTGTGGGCGCGCTGCGGCAAGGGGCACATGGCGAAGTGCTGGAGCGGGCTTGCATGCGAGTACGCCCGAAGGAAGCTGAGGTTGGCGTCGAGGAGGTGAAGCTGATTGGGCTTCTTCGTGCTCGGAGAGCACGTACCGACAACAAAGCGCTGCTGATCGCTCTCGCCGTAGATGGCATCGACACACCGCGCGATGCGCTTCCCCTCGTACGTCGCCGCCTGGCCGAACATGCTAAGATCCGACTGCACAGCGTAAAACTTCATATTTACATATACTGTCTTTTCGTATGTGGTTTTAAGCCTCTTTCTTTTCGATACACCATAAGAACACATAGATACCTCACCTTGGTTGCGTCAGTTTAGCAACGTGAGTACATACCTTGGAATTGGAGATGCGCAATCCATAATTGGTTGCACGTGCTGTCGTAGTCTGGCTGGTGGAGCTCGACTCGAGGAGCTCAAATGCACCCAATGGTGCGACCAGGCGCATCGAAACAGCTACTTCGCATTTCCACCTCTCTGCACCAAGACCTGTGAAATTGAATACTATTCTCGGTGTCGATACTTACTGACGAACTTTGTTTCGTGATACACGGAGCTGAAGGGCTGATGCTCCGTCGCTAAAGGGAGCGTGCAGCTGCGTGAAGACTACCTTGTTTTACCAGAAGCATTGATCATGCTGTCCACAGGAGCTTGTCTAGTGCACCCTCCAAGCAACGCATTTACTGAATGCGAACTACCACCAGAAAGAACAGGGTATTTTTGTTCCAGAAAGCGCGGACTTGCTGATCTGATTGATTTGATAATTTTCGAATTCTGAACCCGTTTGGAAGGATATAGCAGAGAAATCAGCTTACTAGTATGTACCTTGTCGAGAGTCACGCCGAGACGCTTCTGCCGTGCACATTGCAGAGCGCAGCTTGATCCTGGCAGTTCGATGCTACGACGTGCAATAGGCGGCCGCAAAGCAAGACCTGTACTAGTAGTAGCTTATTCACGTCGTGTGTAGGATCGCGTATTCGGCATTAAGTTCGGCTTTTCTATGCCTGGGACAAGCGACGGGTCTGGCTGCAGCGTTGAGGCGTCGGTAACGTCGGTTAGGTTGGAGCATACTCAACACCAGGTATTTTCCGTGGGGCGTTTATCGTGGCTTCAACTCATTTGGCCCTGCTACAATATTATGAAATATTTTATCTTACATAGTTTTCTGAAGTAGTTTGACATGATGCCATTTAAAATCGACTTAGAACCTGAAAATTAATATTGAAGCTCCCATTACGGCGCCGATCCACAGCCGGCAATAAAATCCAACGCAATTTGTACATTCCTTCGATACAACGTTTATTAGCCTTTAAAAATCACTAGTATCACTGTTCGGAGAGGCTAACTGCGTCTTTAAAGGAGCCTATGTCCCTTGTTATGAAGGAACAGTACCAAGAAGGCGACGGATAAAAATACGGCGGCCGTTTTGAGTGGTGTTTGGGCAGTCGGAAACTTGAAAGCCAGCGCCCAAGCTAGCTTTTTACGCTTAAGACGACGGCCATCACCGAGCTTCCGAGACTCGGCCTCGACCCGCGCTGCTTCTGCCCACGAATGGGATAGCCCTCTACGCCACTAAGACGACGACTACGATGAGCGCCCCGACGAACAAGCCCTCCCACGTCCAGTACGACCAGCTGTCGTTCTTGATCCTCGACGCCCCCAACGACTCGAACCTGCCCTTGTACCTCAAGGAGTTCAAAAAGTACCAGGTCACCGACATTGTGCGCGCCTGTGAACCGACATACTCGGATGCGACCGTCGAGGCCGCGGGCTTCCGTGTGCACGAGATGGAGTTTCCGGACGGCGAGCCGCCGAGCCAAGAAATCATCCAGAAGTGGCTCGTCCTTGTCGAGCAGACGATGAAAGACAATGCAACGAATAACGCGGGCACGCATCAGTCAGACAAGACTGTGGCAGTGCACTGCGTCGCAGGTCTGGGCCGTGCCCCTGTTCTTGTCGCGATCGCGCTCATGGAGCATGGCCTCGACGTAATCACAGCCGTCGAGCATATTCGCAAGGCGCGCCGCGGCGCGATCAACCTGCGCCAACTCAAGTACTTGGAGAAGTACACTCCCACTCGCAAGAAGGACAAGTGCTCGATCATGTAGGCGCCAAGACAACAAACGATAGACACCTAGTAAAACCTGGCGAATACACCATGCATTGTCATTGGGAGAGTTCATTTCGCGTTGGCATCACATAACTCATGACAAAAAAGCTTTCTTTGTTCACGACGACGCAATATATTCATATTAGATCACCGTGGGAAAGACAATGACGTCGTCCGTCACTGTGGCGTTGGCACCCGTCGCATTGACTGCAAGCGTCGTCGCGGCCGGCGTCACAGGCGCAAGAATCACATCTGCTTCGTTCGACGCGTTGGCAGGAAACATAATCGTTTCCGTTGTCGGCACCTGGGTCATGTTGGAAGGGACCACGACTGCCCGAGCAGGTACCGCCGTCACATTGAGCACGTGCGAGGCGTTGGCCACTGGTGCGACAATGACGTCGTCGACGGTAATGTTGGTCGGCACGATGGTCACGTCGCCCGAAGCACTCGTCGCATTCACGGCAACAATCGTTCCTGCCGTCTTGTTCGTGGCCGTGGTGTTGGCCGAAACCACGGTAGCTGGCGGCGCCAGCGTCACGAAGACCTCGTCGTCGGTGGCGTTGCCAGACGAACCGTTGCCGAAAGCCAGCGGAGTCACGGCAATGACCGGGATCGTTTCGTTGCCGCGAACCGTGATGTTGACGACCACAGGCGCGTCAATGACGATCGCGGTGTTGTTCTTGTCGCCAGTCGCTTCTGTAGTCGGCACTTCGGTGACCGTAGTCTTCGTCGTCTTGATGTGAATCTTGCTGAACGAGCAGACAGACTCGCCAAACTCGGTCTTTTGGCACGTGGCATCCTTGGGTGCGACGCACTTGGCGAACGCGACGTAGCTCTTGAGCTGGCTGAGGCAGTTGCCGACGGCAATGTCGCCCTTCTTCGGGCACTTGTGGCCATCGTCGTCGTCACTACCGCAAACGGGGCCCTTAATGCAGTACGTCGCGTCGCCAAGCACGTTGATGTTCGTGCACTTTTGTTTGTATTGGGGTGGCATGACCATGGGCACGCACTGCGAATAGTACTTGCTAAGGACTACGCACATGTCGCCGTCACGGCACGTCGTCTCGCCTTCAAATCCCTTGCCGCCGCACTGCGAGTACGTCGGCGGGCCCTTAAGCGACGGGTCAGGCACACACTGCGACCACCAGTCGTTGAGGTGCTTGCAGAGGTGACCTGGCGTGCACTTGGTGTGGCCCTTGTAGTGCTTGCCACCGCACTGCTGCCATGGCAGGGCGTAGTTTTTGGCCTCGGACGATGTCGTCGAAAGCACATGCGCCGTGTTGATGAAGTGGCCACGGAGCGCGGATGCCCCCGAGAGGGCAAGCGAGATGAAGCTGAGGTCCATCGCTCCACCAATTCAAGAATGTGACTGGCCGACGAAGTGCACCCGCCACCTGAATCGCTCGACTCGATACCAGATGGCCAGCCAATTATCTCGGTTTTTGTATGTCATTGGTGCACTGGCTCGACTGCTATGATCCGAGGCCCAACGTGATAGGCAAAAGTGTCATTTGCGGCCTGTCGCGCTGCAGCTGCAATTGGGAGCAGCTCGACCAAGCCCTGGTTATACAGTGTACACCGAATAGAGATGCACCGAGGTGGTTGGCCATTCTGGTTGGTTAAGCTGGTTGCCTTCGTCGCAGTTGCGACGTCGCGTCAAATTCGGCGCCGAAATTGTCGGTGTTCGAACCGGATAAACGGCATATCCGGAATCTTCAGGCGAAGCTCCCTTCAAACGATGCCCCCACATGGAATTTTCTGCGGCGCGTGCGATTGCGTCATCGAAATCGCAAGCGGCGACGCCCTCAGAGCCATTTCGAATTCCACAGCACCGAGGGACGAACCATGGACATGCTCATGCAGATTGTGGCACAGCGCAAGAAGAGCGTGGACGCGGCCAAGGCGCTTGTGAGCGAGGCTGAGCTCCAGCGCAAGATAGACGCGTACGAAGCCGCGCATGGTCGCCCGATGTCGATCGTCGGCAAGATCCGCGAGGTACATCATTTACGACCACGGCGACGACAACACGCTCATTGCGTTTTGTCAAGAGCGCTCCGTTGCTCGCTGTTGCTGCTGAGTTTAAGCGCGCGAGCCCGAGCAAAGGCGACATCGCCGTGGATGCCAATGCTCCGGGTAAGTCCGACGAACAACCAGTCATGGATGGCATTTCGGACACAGCCTTATACAATCTTAATTTGGCATTGATAGAGCAAGCATTGACGTATGCCCAAGGTGGAGCCAGCGTCATCTCAGTTCTTACCGAGCCTGAACGATTTAAGGGGTCGCTCCAAGACATGCTGGACGTGGTGCGTTGTGCTTGTTGAACTTGCTTCTTGGGCGAAATGGAATCGTATACTGTTGGTAGGCGTTGGCAGTCAAGGCGATGGGCAAGGCCCGGCCAGCCGTCCTCCGGAAGGACTTCATCTTTGACACGTACCAGCTCCTTGAGGCACGGGCGTTTGGTGCCGATAGCCTCTTGCTGATTGTGGCCATGCTCTCTCCGGACGAGCTCTCGCTCCTGCTGCAGGTTGCGCTGCGTCTATTAGCGTATTCTCTCATGGCTATGCTGCAGGCGTCTCGCGAGCTTGGCATGGAGCCACTTGTCGAAGTCAACAACGAGGCGGAGCTTGACGTGGCACTTGCGGCCGGTGCAACGTACGACGACCGCGATGGACGTTGATGAGGTGTGAATTTTGTGCTCTAGATTTATTGGCGTCAACAACCGCAACTTGCGCACGTTCAAGCTCGACTTGAACACGACCGTACACATCGCCGACGCGATTCGTGCACGGGGCATTCGCCTCGGCGACGACATCGTGTTGCTGGCGCTCAGCGGCGTCTTCTCGCGCGCCGATAGCATCAAGTATGAACACTGCGGTGCGCAAGGCGTCCTTGTCGGCGAGATGCTTATGCGCACGCCCAACCCCCGAACGACGATCCAAGTACTTTATTACTTGTTGCTCTACCATCCCATAACAGAATGCATCGTAGGAACTGCGGGGCGTGCACACGAATGCTCGCCAAACACTCGTCAAGATTTGTACGCTGCATTACGTGCCCAGCATCAAGTGCTAACGACGGCAATAGGTGGCATCAAGGACGTAGCATCGGCCGTTGTTGCCGCGCAGCACGGCGCAAACCTCATTGGCATGATCTTCGTCGCCAAGTCTCCACGAGCCGTCGAGATTCAAACAGCCAAAGACATTGTGCAAGCGATTCGACAGTTTGGCGAACGCTCGAGTCGCCACGAATTTCCGCCTCGCATCGAGACAAAGCAGGGCTCGGCGCCGTGGTTTCAAGCGCAGAGTCGGCTGTTGACGCTTGCAAGTGCCCGAACACCGCTCGTTGTTGGTGTGTTCTCGCTGAACGCCGCGCGCACCGATGCCAACCCCTGTTTTATGTAGGCGTTTTCCAGAACCAGTCAGCAGAGGCCATCAATGCGGTTGTGGCTGAAGTGGGCCTCGACCTCGTGCAGCTCCACGGCGACGAAGGTACAGGCAAAAGATCAAACACAAGACGTGTATAACTGTTATGTAGGCTTTGAGATTTGCGCGGATCTTATTGTGCCGGCGATCCGTGTCGTGCACTTGCCTGGCGGCACGACCGGCGACACGGTCAACATGGATGCGATTCTCGAGCACATCAAACCCGGTCTTGAACATCACGAAACCTAGAGATGATAATGAGGTCGCTTCGCTGTAGGCTACGCAATGGCACTGCTGCTGGACACGACCGTGAAGGGCCAAATGGGTATGGAGTAGCTACCTCGCGTCTCGAATGCTCATTGTTTGGCCGTAGGGGGCACGGGCACGATCTTTGACTGGACGATTGCCGAGCAATTCGAACAAGCAGGGATTCCGTGCCTCATGGCAGGTGGTCTAACGCCAGCGAACGTGGCGAGCGCGATCCACGCAGCTGATCCGTATGGCGTCGACGTTAGCTCCGGTGTCGAAGACGGCGTGCCGGGTGTGAAAGACCACGCCAAGATCGGCGACTTCATCACGCAGGCCAAGCTGGCACCGCAACTCGCCAAGGTTGCCGAGGCGTAGACAGCGAGCACATACATAGGTATATGTAGAGTGTATTCGAATTAGAACGCGAATGCAATGCTTTGCTTGACCCAAAGACCGTTCGTGGTGGGCGAGTCGCGGGCCGCAGGCTTGCCTTTTGGCCGATCGCAACGGTGCGCTGCACCCAGAGGCCCGACGCGACAGGCGCCACAGTTTCTGTCTTGGCGCGCTTGGAGGCTTCGTGCTGGAGCTCGGTCGTAGTCGTCATTGTGCTGCTGATCGTCGGGAGTTTCCGCTTCTCTGCGGACGACGGCTTGCTGTTGGTGGTCATGGGCGCCGCTGGCATCGCGCGCTGAGAAATTCAGATCTCCATGCATCTGGCCGGGCGGGACTCGCGTCCTCAGCGGCGAGGGGACATCAGATACAAAATGCAAGTAAAAAAGACCTTTGCAATGGCTTGGCTGAGCCACATGGGTAAAATGCACGGTCTTTTAGCCTATACAAATGCGTGAGAAACGCCATTTTATTGCATGCGATATCATAATTGGGTAACGCGCGGGCGCGTCGCCCCGCCGATGGACGCGTCAAACTTCCAAGGGAGATTTAGCTTGAACACTGCTTGGAATGCGGTCGAATTCGTTGCTGGTCGACCACTACCGTACCAGTAGTGCACGACACATTCCATACATGTATTCATCGTCGCCTGAACTTGCCATCTCCAGCTGCCGACTCCTTCTGCATTAATCCATAAGCTATATCCATCTTAGTAGCGTCGTCGACAGCTCACACGGAACAATTGTGTTTAAACGTCTTGTGCGGCGCGTTAAACTGTCATGAAGAACGTGCATGGATTGTGGTGATGTCCTTTGGCAACATCGCAATGGACAGTTGCAATGGACGATGGGCTGGGATGAGTGAGTATCTTTCTGCAGCTTCGTATCGCCTGCCTCGCCACAAGAACGCGCTTTCTGAAATGCAGCATGGGATAGGAGCGTTTTAAACTTTGTGTTTAAAACACATTGTGGCAGTTTCGGGTGCAAATAGCGATCTTTGTAAGCGACCACGATGGCGAGTCCGTTCGCGGCCTTGTGCTACCGACTGGACATCGTCGAGAAGAAGACCGTGGAAGGAGTACTGCATGATGTCCCATTCTACTCGGGTGCGTACTGATGCGTAGCATGCAACCTTCCGCGCGATCCAGGCCCTGGTCCGCGACCTCTCGCAGGCAGAGGAAAAGCATGCCAAGATGCACCAAAAGTTGCTGGACGCCGTCAAAGGCCTGCCCCATATGTAATCCTAGCATCTACTCTATGAAGCTCATGCATTTGCTGGCAGGGCGGGAAACGTCACGCAGCTCTACCAGGCACGGCGAGACGACGATGTCATCGACGATGCTCATTGCTCGCTAGGTCTGGCACACGGAGCTGGCGACGTACGTGCGCAACGTTATGACTGCCAAGCAGCTTGTCGCATCCGAGCTGTCCGGCTCAATCCTTCCGTCGCTTCAGCTTCACCTTGGTGAGTGCCAGGCTCAAACACGCCAGGTTCTCTTGGACGTTCGAGGGTCGCACGATCTCTACGGTAGTTGTCACTCCGCTTCTATGTTGTGACATGGCCACATAATCATTCGTAGTGAGCAAAAGGGTCATCTTGTGACAGTCAAATACCGTTATATGAAAGCGGCCAAGGCCGCAGAGGCGCTACTCGACCAACGCGAAGCATGCAGCAAGAAGTTGGAGAGCGATATTGCAGCGAGAGCCTCACTTCCCGAAGCAACAATGCCATCTGTGGCCTCGCTGCAGCAACGCAAGCACGACACCTTAAACACGATTGAAGCTCGACTTTCGAAGAGTGTCTCGGACGTCAGAGAGGCCCAAACGGTCTATACGACGGCCCACGCCGACGTACTTTGTCAGAGAAACACCCACCGCCTCCTTATACTCGCGAAGCTTGCAGAGGTGCGATATCAAGATCGATGGATGTACTGGAGCTGTCGCGGTCTAGTTGCACGATATTGAGGAGCACCGAGTCGAGTGTCTCCAAGGAAAAGTTCTCGGCCCCTTTGCCAAGGTCTACGCCAAGCTGGCGCGCTCTCTGTCGCTCTCCGCCGACACATTTTTCGCCAACGCACGTCAAGGACTAGAGGTGTGTGCTTCTGCATCGTCAAGATCAGACTTAGACAGGTTCATGGCTGCCATAGGCATGCATGGACGCACCAACGTGTGAAAACAACCCTGGAGACGGGTCGTCTGACGGATCCGTCGCCTCCCTGAACAGCGTAGCGACGCAAATGAGGAATGACGGGGACGTTACTGCCAAGTTAGCCGAGGTTTTCATCGCGATAGCGCTCGCGGCATGCGTTGTATCATGTGTCATGGATAGATTTTTCAGCAGCTTCGAACCTTGCAGGAAGCGCACGCAAAGCGATTGCAGCAGCTTCTCTCGGGCAATTGGACGCTTGGACCTCTCGAAGGCCCATCTATCCAGAAGGCATGGGACCAAGTGCTTGCAAGCCTCGAGGTCGCCGTGCATGCCCACTCTGACTACAACAATGCCCTGCAGTACACTTCGTGTCCTCTCCTGAAGACTGTGGCGAGTATCTCAAAAATAGGTCCAACATCGCTCCGTTGTGGACAGCGATGTGCGCGGCACAAGCTTCCACGAAGCGGCAAATCGTCAACATGGTCAACGACATCCAGATGAAGCGAATCGGGGTGCGCAACAACGAGCGCAACGCGTGCAACCGGTATGAAGCGGTGCTCCGAGAAGTGGACACTCGGCTGCGCCAGATAAAGAATGCGGAGCGAGAGGCATCGAACGAGGCCCAGCTGCCCCAACGAGACCGTTTTGTCGTCCTCGCCTGGCGGGATCCCGCGAGTGTTCGCCTCGAGAAGCTCCAGAAAAGCCTCCAAGGTCTAACGTACCTCGTGCATGAGCGAAAGTGGTACTAAAATGTACAGAGTTTCAAGAAACCGAGGTCGCGACTGCCACAAAGCAGCGGGCATTTGCAAAAGAAGCGTCCGAGAAGTTTGCCAAGATGTACGAGATTCTCGTCTCGACAGTCCACGGTGACTTCCAGGTGCGAGCAAATTTTCTGCAGGCCGACTACACTGACGATTCACTTAGAATGCCAAAAAAGTCGAGTGGGGTGCTCTTTCCGGCATCTTGGCTGTTTGGGAGGATGTGCTCGGGGCCTTTACTCGGACGCTCCATCGATCTCTCGAAGACGTCGTCGTGCAAGTTTGCGCCGTGAGCTTTGACGCTGATGTGCGAGCATTCGTGGCCGAATACACTGTCCTATCCCCGCCCGACGTTGTCCGAGGCATACCACTGGAATTCTACGACAGCCCACGACTCACAGCAGTCCTTGATCCTCCGTCGGTTCCAGTGCGACCTCTCATGCAATGCTGTGATACCTAAGTTGTTTTTGGCTAGGTGGTCCCCGTCACGACGTGTGTGGTACTGTGTCATTGCATAGAAATGTACATTAGTCTGAGCCAACCTAGACGAACTCGTGGCCCTTGAAACGCGATCCACAGCAAGTCGAAGCTGCCATTGTCTTTGCATTGTGCATGGGCATCATGGCGCTCTACTGGGGCGTGGGGCTCGTGGAGACCGAAGTGCGCCTCGCTCATGCGCTCGTACTCGAGCTGGCCGAACCCATCGCGTCCTTGCGTCAGCTTTTGGGGACCGGTGCCAACTAATGCGAGTGAGAACGCAGCGAATCTTTGTATTGACAATCGCGGCTTATTTTTGCATGACGAAAAAGAAGTACCCGAGACCAATCGCTATGGTGTGGGCGTCAGACACAAGGAGAAATAGAGTAGGGACGTACGGATGTTATGGTACTTGTACGTCCAACCGTAAGCCGTGCTCACGTCAGCTTGCGGCGCGTCACCCTAAGACATTATTCAAGTCGATATTGTGAAATTGCTCAAAGCTTACCAAGAGAAAGCGCTTGCGAAAATGGGGCTGGCCAAACGAGATTTGAATGAAAAGTCCCGTGGGTGTCAGGACCTTCTGAACCCCCGTGCACATATCGTGGGCTTGAGCGAGAAGGTGTTCTGCCGGAGACCACGTATCGCCACCCTCCACCTACGCCGAAAATCAGATAAAACAAACATTGCACACCAGGAGGACCATAAGTGCGTCCATGGCTGCTTTGTCAATGACGACGTCGAAGGAGCTTGCGTCAAAAGACTCGGGAAGCTTGAGCATGTCGCCAACAACCCAGCGCATGAGCGGGCGCGACTCCTAATGAGTTGCAAAATTCATCACCTCGTTCGACACCAAGTGGACTCCGGCGTACGGTGTATTTCCCACTCATCCGCTCGATCACGACGCTGGAAAAGTCGAGGTTGACAATGTTGGTGTAGCCCGCATCGTACTAGCAAAGAGGGTGATCATACGCAACGACTACTTCACAGTGGCGAGGGGCGTACCAAATCCACGCTAAATGTCGAGTTACCGCAACCAACCTACGCATGCCAGCGAGATGAGATTTGAGAGAAATCGAGAGGCGTGAACAGGTAGTGTACGATGAGAAGGCGGCTGCTCTTGGGCACATATTGCGCGATGAGATCGGCGACGTCGTTGTAGCGTGCGAGCCAGTCGTATGACTCTTCACTACGCTCGACGTTGGGAAGTGATCGAAGGACGCCACGACACGTACGAGGCGAAGCGCGAGTCCCAGTACGACTGATTCTTGTACTCTTTGTTGTCTCTCTACAGGACTTGGTGAAAGGGGCGCGAGCAGAGAGAGCACTTGACGCACCGGCAGCTCCGGCATGGTTTTCGTGTACGGCGTATTTGCCAATCAAGTCGAGTGCGATGGCGCATAATCGCGTGGCCAATGGGCGCCGCCCAATGAGAACGCCCACCGATGATTCGTCAAAATTCATCCATGCCCTCCAATCCATGCTGGGAAAAGTATTTTGCCGGATGCCCTGGGGTATCGAAACTGCCCATGGGCGGTTCTGTCTCGATGCTTCGGGCTGAGATCCAAGCGCACGTCAAGATTGCACAGACATACCCGTCGTTCCTGGAGCCGAACCTCTATGGTGCGCGACACCGTGCATGGATCTGCGTTGCTTACTTGGCACACGTTGTGCTTGTAGTGGCGCGGTATTTTTTGGAGAGTACGATCTTGCGATTCCTCTCGGTTCTGTGTGGCTGGCTCGACACGTCGCATTGAATAGTTTGCGAAGAAGGCGAAGGCATCAAACCGTCAGATAGAGACAATGCCGCGGTCCTCGATCAAATGAACTTGCTGGACGAGAACGCGTTGTCGACCGAAGTCGAGTTGGTCGCAGACAACGATTCTGCCATTGCGGTCCTGCTTCGCATTGTCGAGACATACCGCGACATGGCACCAGCCCCCGAGTTCGACACGAAAAAGCGTGCGATTACAACGGTGTGCTTTTGTGTCATTTGATTCGTAGGGCTCTTTGCGCGACTGCGGCGGCCCGACCCGTTTCCAGATCTGTACGAGCCTGTGGCAGAGTACGACATTCCACGCAACCAAACATCGCTTCTGCGGTACCGCAAACATCATCTTGAGTCACCTCAAAGCATTGAAATTTTATAGCATGGCATTGCGCTGCCTGCGCATGATCACCGTTATAAAAGATGCGCGGGACTACATCTATGCACACGCGACGTCGATCTCCATGCTTAACCGAGTCGTGGACGAAAACGCTCTCGATGCCTTCATTCGCCAGGACGTCAAGAGCATTTTCAAAAGTATGAGCATTCGCGCGCAGACAGAGAGTAACCACGTTGCTATAGATTTGTACGCAGGCGATGAATCTGTGAAGCGCATGGAGTCGGCCTCGATCAGTGTCACTGTCGAGCTGATGAACGATTATGACGAATCACCCATTGTGCGAAGACCCCAGACTGTACTCTTTTCCATGTTAACTGACTATACCTACCTCCAGGTCCAATTGGCGGGCATCAAACGCCTCGACATCCACGTTCGTGTTGTGCGGGACGACGAGGGTACACAAGAAGACGTCTTCATCGAGATTATATCGTGCCGTGTAGACTTTGCACGCTGCATTGACGAGATTCTGACGACGGACGCCATCGCCGCTGTTGGCCGCGCACTTGCTCGGTTTCCCGCGACATATTCCGACATTTATGTCCATGCGTGCCGCCTCATGGTGGCCTTTGTTTCACCGGCGCGACTCGAGGCGGACGAGGAGGCTGGACGTCCCCATGATGGTTTGTAGCTCTTGAAATTACTTCGCGATCAAAGATGTCAATGTGCATCTAGAGCGCGTGTCTAAACTCATCGGCCAGCACGGTGGCGTTGAAGCCGCGATTCGGCTCTTAAAGCGCTGTAGAGGGTTCCATACCCAACATGCGTCGATGGTCAGGATCAGGTTTGCGTGGCCGAGCGATGATAGATACTATTCTTGTAGAAAGACGACCCGGAACCTGTCGCGGTGCCGCCTCCCGTTGCCTCGACTGTCGTGGCCAAGAGGCTCACGGAGCAAGAGGAGCTTGACGCACTCAAGCTGCAAATGATGGCTTCACCTCCGGAAGACCCGAATCCAGACGAAATGCTAGTCAAGGCAGAAAAGGTTGGCCGAGCGTAGATGCATGCAGACATTATGGGAATCAAGCCCCTGATTCTAGGCCAAGGCTACGGACTGGAAGACACCGGATCTTGCGCAGCAAGCCTTGTGGGCGCTCGATGTCCTCAGCATCTCCGATTTCAACCGCATTGCAATGAAGCGAGAAAAGTTGAAGTACGTCGTGAGCGAAGTTAGTCTCGGCTCCCAGCTAATCGTACCTCGGCGCCTCCGACTACTCGACTGGGCAAGTATCGGCCACGAGCCCGATAAAGAGGGTGACGCGATGGACCCAATTGACTAAGCGAACTATGTAAAGACGCATACGATCGTGCTGTTTATTGAATGGATTGCTCTGGTTTGCAGCGCTTGTGCAGTGCATGCGTGTGCAGTGTCTGTGTTGACGAGCGCGGGTCACGCTGCCGCTGATCGGCGCAGCGTGTTTGACCAAATACAGACGGCCATACGTAGGACATTATTCACATGTACATGGTGATGGTGTAGAGCCAAAGACGGCTGTCCCGCCACGCTGGTTGTGCATGGAACAGGTGACGCGGCTACATGGCCATGCATTGTGATCTCGGATCCACAAGAAGCTGGTCGAACCCAGTTGCAATGGATCCATAGGGAGACCACCTGGCCGTGACTTGGTTTGGGACACGTCTGTGGTCCAAAGGGTCATCGATGAATGGCGGCAAAAGCCCTCTCCCTCGCCGCCTGGTCCGACGCCATGACTTGGTGTTACTGGACCCGCTACTCAAACTTCAACTCGCTGGCTATCCCAGCGCGCGAGATACGCCGATGACGCAGCTGTATTTAATCACTCGTTTTTTGTATGGTGAGTGTGCCCATGGGCTTTCTGGAATAAATTCGGTCCTGGGTGCGGAAATTCAAGTGCCACGAAAAGCTCACTTTGCCCTTCTGGTGGGACGTGGGCTCATTTGCAAACATGAACGAGAAGACGTCGCTCCTCCGCACGTCCGTGTCGGCCGAACACCTCGCGGCGATGGCCGACGAAGACGTCGTCCTCACTATGCCCCAAGTGCGGTCTGCGCCCGACATGGCGGCCATGCAACAGAACCGCCGGACCGAAAAGGCACTCTTCAAGACGCCGCCACTCCGCATGGACTACGACCACCACGATATCTCCATGTGCACATCGCCGCTCGAGCGATCGATGCACGGTACGGCGCTGCGCCGGGAGCCAAGCATGCGTGAAGAGAAGGTCACGCCCATGTCTGTGGTCAAGTCACTGCCGAGCGTCCTCATCGCCGTGCTCCTGAACCTCATGATTTGCATTCCGTTCGGACTCTCGTTCTTTCCGCTCGAGTGGGACGAAATGCCGGCACCCCGCGCGATTGGCATCCAAATGTTCCTCCTCACGACCGTGCTTTGTCAGTTCATCTTTGCGGGTGCGCGCATATACATTTTTCATGCACGGACTTCTCAAGCACTCTCTCGTAGCGCGAAGCTCGTTTGATTGCTCTGTCGGCATGATGATGGTCGAGAATGTTCCGTTCATGCACACGCTGTCCATGTCGATTCTCAACCAAGTCGGCATGGATTCGCCCAAGGCGCTGCCCACGATTCTCGTGACGTACGCGCTCTCGACGATCGTTGTCGGAGTTCTCTTTTACGCGTTGGGCCACTTCCGCCTTGGCTCCATCGTTTACCTCTTCCCCAAGCACATCATCATCGGCGCCATTGGCGGCATTGGTATGTTGTTATTTTTGCAATAGTTTCTCCAACGGTATGCGTCTAGGTGCTTTCGTCGTGCAGAGCGGGATCCAAAACGCGACCGGCGTTTCGTTCGAGTGGACGTACGATGGTCTTGTGCGTCTCGTTCAAAATGATATCTTTTGGCTCTGGATCGTCTCGGTCATTCTCGTATTTGCTCTCGGCGTCCTTCTCCGATTCAACAAGTCGCCGCTCTGCTCGCCCTTTTTCTTCGTGTCCATCCCGCCGCTCTTTTACGTTGTCCTGCTCCTCTGCGGCATTCCAGTCGAGGTACGTACTACTGCTACAACAAAAGACTTGTTCGAACACGCAGCCCATAGACGGCACGCGCAAACGGCTGGTTCTTTGACAAGCCTCCCCAGGTGCCTTTCTACGCCCTTTGGACGTACTATGACTTCTCGCTCGTCGAATGGTCTGTGATTCCCAAGCAAATGGGCACCCTCGTGGGCCTCAGCCTCTTCTCGCTCATGCACGTGCCGATCAACATCCCGTCCTTGAGTCTGACAACAGGGCTTGAAGTCGATATCAACGAAGAGCTCAAGGCCCACGTACGTCCATTTTGATCTGGCACGTTCTCTGAGCTGGTGAGTAGGGCATCTCCAACACACTTGGCGGAGCGTGCGGCAGTGTACAGAATTACCTCTGCTACTCGACGTCTGCGCTCTACTACAAGTGCGGTGGCGGCGGTCGCATCCAGTCGTTCTTGATCGGCGCTATTCTGAGTATCTTTTCTTCACTGGCCCAAGTGCTGTGGCATATGTGCCCCGGTGCATGGCCGGCTGCCTCATGATTCACGTGGGCCTCGACTTATGCAAAGAGGCGGTCGTCGACACGTACCACGAGCTCGATCTCTTCGAGTACACGAATGTCTGGATTATCGCGCTCACGATGACCTTCTGGGGCATGAACGAAGGTATTATCACTCTCACATTACGGTGACTCACGACAGTAGGCCTGGCGGTGGGAGCGCTTCTTGCGTGCATTACATTTGTGGTGCAAAGCGCGCCGGCAGGGCCCTTGCGCGGCAGTATGTCGGCAGCAACGCTGCGTAGCACTGCGTGGCGCTCAACAGCAGACTTGGAGATCCTCGACTGCATGATGCGCAACGTCCACGTCGTCCAGCTCAAGGTATCGCACACTAGTCGTGTCGATCTTTCTCACTCATCCATGAGTTTAGGGCCACTTGTTCTTCGGCAACATCCACAAACTCTCCGAGTACGTGGCAAAGATCCTCGAAGATTCGCCGCAACTGGAGTACCTGGTGGTGGATTTTACACTGGTCGTCGCACTCGACTCGTCTGCCGCCGATCGCCTGACGAAGCTCAAGTGCGTCTTTGAGGATGTTCTACACAATACATATTATGTGGCTAGGCACGTCTGCGCGGCCCATGACGTGCACCTCGTCTTTACTGCAATTCCAGCGGCTTACGAGCGCTTCAAGACGTCGATGGTGGCGTCATTTGGCACGTCGAAATCGCGCTGTCGGTTCTACGCGGCCAACGACCTCAATGGCGCTATCGAGTGGTGCGAAAACAGCCTCCTGCAGCAATACAAGATCTTGCACACGCCCGTGTCGCTCTCGCCGCAGCCCGAGAAGCCGGCGTTTATCTCGCGCCTTGAGGTGCTCTGCCCGCACGAGTCACCGACTGTTATTCTCTCGCTCCTTGGATACTTTGAACGCCAAGTCCTCGAAGCTGGAGTTTGTGTGTGGCGCCAGGGCGATTCGTCCAACTCGTCGATGATCTTGGCCGAAGGTCGCCTCCAGGCAATCGTCGAAGAAGAAGCTGGCACGACGGTACGTCCAGCATCTATCCAGAAACATTGGTTGACAGCATGCGTAGGAGGACATTCCGGTGGGAGCGTTGATCGGTGAGCTCTGTCTTTTGACGGGGGAAAAGCGCAAGACCTCGATGTATGCGGTATGTACAATCCTTGTATTCTCATGGCTCACTACATGACTGCGACAGACGGAGCCAAGTGTCGTGTACGTCTTGACGCTGCAAAAGTTCCAAGAGATGCTTCAGAAGGACAGCTACCTGGCGTTCCTCTTCCAGGGAATCGCGCTGCGCTACGTGTCGCTGCGCTTGCAGTACGTTGGCAACCGTATCTGGGAGTCCAAGTGCATCCCCATCTAATACTAATGCACGCGTCGTCTTGTTGGTGTTACTACTTCTTTGTCCACTCGTCCGTGGCCGCGAGGCCGTTGTATACGGCCGCAATCTTCTCAAACAAGTCGTTCTGCTCCTTTAGCAGCGCCTCGTTGCCCTTGAGCCGCGCTTGCGACTTCTCGCGCCGGGCGTCAGCAATGTTGGCCGCCACTTGGAGTGAGTTGCGCTCGCAGGCTTCGAGCATCTCCTGCACTTGGACGAACTCGTGCGGCACCTGAGCGCCCTTGGCCGTGAGCTCGTCGAGGAGCTTGCGCCCGAGGGCGACGTTGCCCAAGTTGATGCTACTGCTGCTGCTGCTCATACCACAAACAAAAGTGAAAATACCGTATTCGCTGTCTAATACTATTTGAAGCGCAATAAATAGTGCTGGCTTGTATCCCCAAGGCTTCTGCTCCCCAGCGCGGCCACGGCATGGACCAAAGCGCCATTGGTCAAAGCTACGTAGAGCAGTGCTACGAAAGATCACCTTGCTCGCAACATTGTGCTTCGTATGCTGCCGATGAGACGCATGAGCAATGTAGAAAGGCTCATTTTTACACTATTTAATAATGACTCACTTCAACAGCAACACTATTTCATGATGAAAAGTCGATATTGCAATGGGCATCCTCGGTGCCAAGGTCGAGCTGGCGGAGGCGTGGAGGGTTGACGGCAACGCAGCCTTCCAGACCAAACAATTTGCCAGGGCTAAGGCATGCTACGAGCAAGTAGGTTTCGCACTCACCACGCATTTGCCTCCGACTCACGACTTCGCTGCATAGGGGCTTCGTTTGCTCTCTTGCCCCGACATGTGCACGTTGGCACAGGCTGAGGTCGAGGTTCTGCGCCAGCGCCTAGCCATACTGCATGTGAACACGGCTGCGTGTCATCTACAAGATCCAGAGATGTTTGCAGCCACCGAGTGTGAGAATCATTGCTCCAAGGTGACATCGGTATTGCGCAACTCTTGGCTCACTACGACCGACTAATCCAGGCACTGCAGCTCGACCCATCCAATGTCAAGGCATGGTATCGCCGTAGTCAGGTGTATGTCCGAGTAGGCGACATGGACAAAGCCAAGCATGATATCGCTCGCGCCACCAATCTTGAGCCAACCAACGCCATGCTACGTACGTTCCAAGTGCATATTTCAATTATTGTGCTCACGAGCCGGGTGCAAGTAGGGAAGGAGCAGGCACACATCATCAACCTGGTTGCCGCCGAGGCAAAGAATCGAAAACAGTTGTACCAGGGTGCTTTTTAACCAGAGACCGACAAGGTGGCGTCGTCAGCTGGAGGTATACCAGCAATGTTGCGACGAATGATTTCAGCCTTGTACTCTGCTTGACGAGCTGTGCAAAGACCTTCGCTGCACTCAGAGCTGGGCCGGAACCAGAAGGTCGAGACAGCAAGGTCCAGGCAGTCAACGCGATAGAAGGGGATGGTGTCCCCAAACTCGAGGAGGAGTCTACAACAGCATGAATGAGTACGTTGGTTTCGGGTACATTCTATGTAGCTACTTCAAGGCGCATTGGGAAGCCAAGCCAGCAGCCAGAAGCTCCGACTGTGGCAGTGTCGCGGGATGTAGTTGCGCGATGGCATCCGCGAGTGTTGCTTCATCGTCATCTGTACCCGATCGGTGGCACTGCCATCTGTCGATTAGAGAAGCCATGAATGGACATAAGTACCTGGTAGCATGCGCTGTAGCCTGGGAACACGGATTGGATCGAAATATATGAGCTGCACGGAGACGAAGTCACATCGACAAGCGGAATACTGAGTTGCAGCGCCATCTAGTACGACGATCCGGGACATGCGACGCCTGTCAAGTAGTAGTTGGAACCTGGTTGACGCGAAGTCGCGCAGCTTGGTTGTCGAGCGAACTTATGATAATATCCGCTCCGATACCGGTTGCATGGTCGTCGCCATCGCGGTAGCGTCCGCTCATTGCCTTTACGTCTTGCAAGATCGAAAGCAGCGCATCGTAGTCCAAATCTGCAGACAATGCTCGACTCGTGCGGATCTTTCAGTGTACACCGCACCATCGGCGACGTCGCAGTGCAATGCTTCGACAGCTACTTGCGGATTTAGTCGGCGCAAGTGTAGTCGAGCAGCCTGCGCCTTGCTCATCCCGACTTGATCGGGCGTGTGGAACATGCGTCCCATACTCGCCATCTTGACGACGCCTATTGCTGGAGGATAAGAGCGATTGGCTAAATTGGCTGTAGTGGTACTTTTGTCAGCGAGAATGAGCTTGCTCACGTTGGAGCGTGCGAACATTTCGGCAACGATGCCACCAATGCCGCTGAGGCCGATGACTGCGATTGATTTGAGCCGGAGATCCTGTTCAATACTTGTTTCAATCCATGAAATCGAGTACTGCAGAGGCTGACATCAATGTTGCGCACGACCTTCTTTTGCTGGAATGGCGCCAAGGGACTAAGCAAATGGGTCTGTGTATATATGTACAGTACCTCGATCTTTGCACACCTGCATCGTGATCGGTTGCTCGATTTCGATGGCTGTAACGTTAGCTGTTGATCCATCGATGCAGTAGGCTGGGGGCCGGGAAGGTTGAGCTCAACACGTACATAGCGACTTAGTCGATCCATGGCAACCTCCATGTGGATCTGGGGCGGCACCTCCGCATACGCCTGTTTATGCTTGGGGTCCATCACGATGGTAATGGGACTCTTATAAATTGCGCCAGTTTCCTTCACGGTTTCAAATGAAGCGAATGCAAGTGAGTCGATTTGGTCCGACCAAACTAGTGATACAAACTGACGATGATTCTATTGCATCTTTGTCGCGAAGTAGCGAGTGTAGTGAGGGAATGGTGATTTTGAAGTTGGAACGGCAGCGTGATCTGCGGACCGTCGTTGATGAGCGAGATGCGAGGTATGAAAACAACATCGCCAGCTTGCGCGCCGGTCAAAATTGTGGCCTGAATGCATCGGTCACGCAATGCGCGGACCATGGGTCGCGTTCCGTTGCATAAACCGCGACGTGGGCACGGGTTGCTCAGCAACAAGACAGTGGCGTTGACCTTGAGCTCGAGACGATGTGAAGGGAGGCCAACGATGTTGATGAAGTTCAGAAACTTAACTGGGTAGTTTATAGCGGCTTCTTGTTGTAGCCGATTATCGTCGTCGTTCGCTGTTGCAGCTTGAACCTCGTCGTCTTCTAGAGCTCCCACGCTGTCGGCAGACGTGTAAACGCGATGATCAGATGACTCAGCTACCGGAACTTGCACAAGTACCATGGAGTTGACCGCAGCGACGACGACGGCGCCAAAATGGCGCGTTGAGCAAGGTACACTGGCAGCTCGTTGATGGGGATCGAAGGAAGCTCTGGGTACACGAAATCGACCAAGTTGGTAGGCGCATGCGTGGGGTCGCTGTCGATGACGATGTCTTCGGGTAGGCAGATGCACTCGTCACCGAAGTCGCCGTATGCAGCCTGATCGCGTCCGTAAGACTCGTTGCCGATGGCACGTAACATTTTTGTAAACGGCGCATCGTGTCCAAGAACGCGCATGTTGGTGAGGAGGTGGAAAGTAGACACGACGCCCCGGGCATCGCTACGCTTCAAACAAGCTTGGACAATTCCTCACATGAAGCACGTGGAATGACCGGCAAAGTTTGCTTGAAATCACCCGAGAAAAGAGAGCCTTGCGGCGAAAACGTCGCTGCGGCTCGAAGCAAAAGTCTCGGAGCATGCAATCGATGGCGTCCATGGTGCCTTTGTGGATTATCGAGCACTCGTCCCAGACGAAGAAATCGGCCTCATGAAGCAACGCGGCGAGGTGGCTCTGATTCCTCACCCCGAGGATCGTATCGGCGTTGACTGACAATGGGATCTTCAAGCGTGAGTGAGCAGTGGTACCGCCGTGAAGGGTAAGCTCAGCGAGGCCCGTAGATGCAAGGGCAATCGCGATGCGTTCGTTGGACTGACGCCAAGCAAGATGAAGGTTGGACACAATGCTCTTTCCAGAGCCACCCTCGCCGCACAAAAATAATTCGCGTCTTTGTTAGCTGGGAGGCAGGTCGAGTGGCATACGAAATCGACGACAGCGCGCAGCTGCGGGTTGGCGGTCAATAGGACCTCGCGGTCGTACGACTTCCCGATCTCGAGCAGACGGTTACGGGTCAGATCCAAGACGTCAGCTTCCAGGATCTTGCGATATACATCGAGTTGGGGCAGAGTAGGATACGCATCGAGCGAGAAGTCCTGGCCGTGTGAGTGGAAAAGCTCGGCGATGTCGCATAGCGCACGGGCCACTGGTAGCGTCAGGCGGCAGTGCCATCGCATAGTCCTCGCAGAGTGCATGTGCAAACTCGTTCCACAGCGCACGTAGGCTTGAGGGGCCGACGAAGACCAACATCTTGACAAAGAGGTCACGAAGCTGACGTGGCATTCGGCTCAACGATGCGTCGAGAATGCAACGGCGCCACTCGTCATCCGATGCGAGTAGCCCGACAGCTTGACACACCTCCTCAAAGGTAACGCGAAGGACACCATCGAGAGTACGGAGATCCGCGTACGACGTTGGATCACGATGATGACAAGCGTCCAAATGTAATGCCTTCCTTCAGGGAAACGGTGTCATTCTGCTGAAAGCACGATTTCCTTGACGTTTGCGAGGTTGCCAAAAGCCGCCGTGAGCCGTGTGCCACGTGTCGTAGTGACAGATCTCGCTGTAAAGTCGCGTTCTCGAAGATACGCCGTCATCGTCGGGGATGTCGGCGAGACAATGAGCGAAAAGGGCCATGAGAGTCGTATGTTGGCCACTGAGAACACGCGCGTCCGTGCCATTGGTAGCGTCAGCCACAAAACGCACGGCTTGCTCACCCTCCTCGTGGACAGCAAGCTGTTCGATGCTGTGCGAATGACTTCCATGATGCGCATTGCAAACTCGTGGACCGTGATGTAGCGTCCCGCCCGGTACTGCTTGACCTCATCGACGCCAAGCGATCGTGCTCGTGACCCTCGTGGATGTACTTGAACGACGCAAAGCTCGAGCACAACTCAATGTTGATGTGACAGTTGTACTTGAGTAGCAAGGTCGGGTTGTGTCGGACAACGTTGCGGCTGCTCACAGACATGGAGGAAGAGCCGTGCGGCGTCTCGCGGGGGACGGTAGGCGGAGTACTTGTTCGCGGGCTGTGTCTCGCTGCAAAATGGCTTTGGGTAGCGACAGTTGCACGAGCCGTCCGTGATGCATCGCTCCGGGGTACACGTGTAAATCTTGTTATTTCTTCACGATGCCGTGTAATGCGATGTCGAAACGATTCGTAGGTGACATCTTGCAGCCGAGCTCTAGTCGCTACGCCTCGAGAAACTCTTGGATTTTTGACGTGAGCGCGATGAGGAGATCGGGCTTGCCGTACTTGCGCACAATAGCCAATCGCATCTTGGTAGCGTTGCTGCATGTGCCGGTCGCTGCCAACGAACGACGACGTAAGAATGCTCTTGATGCCACTGGTGCTCAGCGCGAGGTTGGACCGTCCCGCAATCGCGTCGGCGCAGCTCTGGTACGTGTCTTGACACATAAATGATTGGTTGCATTCGTGGTACTGAAGCCAGTTGTCCTCAATCTTGGCGAATGGGATCACCACGTACGCCTGGAAAGGCGTCCCGAGTGCGAAAATGAGCGGGAAGAGCAGCACATTCTAGTGCTTGTTAGTTTCCTTGATGTATACAAATGGCCTCTCGGGGACATCATGAGGCTGTCAGCCGTGTATGCGTGACGGTTGCTGCGGCGGAGGCACCACTACCCGGTCATGTGGCCTAGGCTTCCCGCATACGGACAAAAGTACTGTCCGTTCTGTGGGATCTTGTCGGCGGTGGGCTTCGGCGGGCGTCGTCAGGGTCCAGGAAAGATGAATAGATGCAAAACCACTAGCAAACATACAAAACCACAAATATAGGTCACACCTTCGCACAAACTGTGGACTTGTACCGCTCGTCAACCTTTTTCGCGGCCGACCCAAAACTATACGGGGGCGATTCACAGTACTACGGTGGCCCGCAACTTTACCCGACAGAGATTCATGACCTTTTTATTGGGGCTATAAATAATGTTTGAGGCCGTTCGATGCGCTAAACGCGCTATTTATCGATAGCCGAGACATAGACGAACACGAATATAGTTTGATCTTCTTCGTAGCATGTCTAGTTGCTGAGTAATAGAAGATGAAAGACGGACCATTTAAGGTGGGGAGGGGCCAAAAATGTCCACTTCCAGGGCCTGTACACCGGGCC